CTCTCCCCATCAATTACCAGGAAAATGCCCTACAAGCTTGCTTACAGTCTGATCTTATGGAGGCCTTTTCTCAATAGAGGTTCCCTTTTCTCAGGTGACTCCAGCATGTGTCAAGTTAACATAAAATGATCCAGCACATGTTACTTTTCATGGCAACTGGGATTTGCAGATGCAATTCTGGATGTGAAGAGGGGGAGGACATCTTGGACCAGCCGAAAAGAACCAGTGACAGGTGTCACAGAAAAGGCAGGCAAGCCAGAGTTTGAGAGAAGGGCTAGGATGGAGGAGAACATGCTGAGCCGTTAGCTTTGAGGGTGGAGGACAGGGTCTAGAGCCAAGGACTATTGGAGCCACTGACTCAGTGACTTACAGCAGTCAGTCCCAGGTTGTTTCTTTTGGCCGCCAGGACACGTGATGAGATGCCAGAGTTCAGGGTACCTGTCGACACAAAAGCCAAGGAGCAGAGACAGAAGTAGAACTTTTAGGGGTGTGGGACGTCTCCGCAGTGCTCTTGCAGAGGACCCAGATCCCATTCCCAGTTGTTACCAGACCAGGCAGACAAGCCAGATTTAAACTTCTGACCTCTAGAACTGATGAGGGACAGGAAATATGGTTAGAGTCACTTTTGTACTCCATGATATGGGGGCCCTTTAAAAAAAATTACAATTTTAGGGCCTGAAAAGATGGCTCAGTGGTTAAAAGCTGTATATTTTCTACCTTGTTAGTATGTAAAAATGCCCTCGTGTGTGTGTGTGTGTGTGTGTGTGTGTGTGTGTGTGTGTGTGTGTGTGTTTAGTTTTTCGAGACAGGATTCTCTGTGTAGCCATGGCTGTAGACCAGGCTGGTCTCGAACTCACAGAGCTCCACCTGCCTCTGCCAGTCTGTGCTGAGATTAAAGGTGTATGCCACCACCACCTGGCTGTGTGTATTCTTTTGTGCCTACAAACTTTATCTGCTTCTAGAATTCCTGAGTATAATTAACAATAATGAGCCAGCATTATAGATTTCGGGCCTGTATGTCACATTGTATGTGAACATATAAATGCTCTGGATCCAGCCTGAGTGAGTCTCCTGCCCAGCCTGCACTCCTGGGCACACATTCTTCTTTCTTCCCTTTGGGCCTCTTTGAAAAGAGAGCTAGCTGTTGGCTGTCTCCCCAGGTCTTCAGGTAACAGACACTTTTACACCCGTTATATACAGGATGCACATACGTATTCTGGGCCCTTGGTAGGTTTTCTCTTCCTTTTACCATGTTTCTTTTACAAGGTAGTTCACTGTCAGGGTCCTAAGACTTTTGTCTGAAGTTCTTACTGAAATGTAATGTTCTCAGCTGTGCATGGTGGTGCACACTTTTAATCCCAGCACTTGGGAGGCAGAGGCAGGCAGATCTCTCTGAGTTCGAGGCCAGCCTGGTCTACAGAACGAGTTCCAGGACAGCCAGGGCTACGTAGTGAGACCCTGTCTTATACCTGTTGTTTGTTGGCACTCTGCAGGAGCACAACTCTAAGAAAAGAACCTGTCTTAGGGTTTTATTGCTGTGAGGAGACACCATGACCTGGCAGCCTTTATAAAGGAAACATTTAGTTGGTGCCAACTTAGAGTTTTAGAGGTTTATTACATTTTCCTTATGGCGTGTACCAGGCTTTTTTTTTTGGGGGGGGCCGCCAACCGGTTCCCAAACCATGACACAGAGACTTATTATTAGTTATGAATGCTTGGCCTAGCTTAGGCTCCTTTCTGGTTGGCTCTTTTAGCTTAAATTAACCTGTTTCTCTTTGTCTACCTTTTGCCCTGGGGCTTTCTGTTTTTTTTCCTTCTGTGTATCTTACTTTCACTGCTTCTCGTGTCTGCCTGACTGGTGGCTGCCTGGCTTCTTGCCCCTGGTATCTCCCTTGTTCTCTCTTTTCTTATTCTTCTCTAGCCTAGATTTCTTCTAGTCCGTCTGCCCTCCAGCCCCGCCTATCCCTCTCCTCCTAGCTCTTTATTAGACCGATCAGGTGCCTTAGGCAGGCAAGGTGAAACAAATGCAACACATCTTTAATAATTAAACACACATCCTTACATCATTAAACACACATCCTTACATAATTAAACACATATCCTTACATCATTAAACAAATGCAACCCATCTTTAATAATTAAACACACATCCTTACATTATTAAACAAATGCAGCATAAACAAATGTAACACACCTTTATACAGTTAAAGTAATATTCCACAGCATAAACAAACGTAACACATCTTTACATAGTTAAAATAATATTCCACAACAATAGCAAGAAGCATGGTGGTGTGCAGGCAGACATGGTGCTGGGGAAGGAGCTGAGAGTTCTATATCCGGATTGGCAGGCCGCAGGAAGAAAATGCCACACTGGACCTTTTGAGCATCTGAGACCTCAAAGCCTGCCCCCTAGTGACACGCCTCCTCCAACAAAGCCACACCTACCCCAACAAGGCCATACCTCCCAATAATGCCAGGTCCTCTGAGCCTATAGGGCCATTTTCACTAAAACTACCACAGAAATTAAGCTGTATTTGTGGCAAAGTGTATATTAAGGGAGAGTCCTATAAAGGAGTGTGTAGGTGGAGTTTTCCTGTCCTGACCACCCACTCCCAAATAACCTGCATCCACTTCCCAAATAACTACCTCAGAGACTTAATACAAATTATAAATACTCGGCCATAGCTCAGACTTGTTACTAATGAACTCTTACACTTTAAATTAACCTATATTTTTTATCTGTACTTTGCCACATGGCTCATGGCTTGTTACCTCATTTTCTACACGTCCTGCTTCCTTGGCAGCTGGCTGGCGTCTCTTCTGACTCCACCCTTCCTCATCCCATCATTCTCAGTTTGGCTTTTCCACCTAACTTTATCCTGTTCAGCTATTGGCCAGTTAGCTTGTTTATTAAACCAATCATAGTGACATATATTCACACAGTGTACAGACGGATTATTCTACAACATTTCCCCCGTTTGTTTAATTAAAAAGGAAGGTTTTAACTTCTTTTAGGGGGGTGGTTTGAGACAGGGTTTCTCTGTAAAACAGTCCTGGCTGTTCTGGAACTCAATCTGTTGATCAGGCTGGCTTCAAACTCACAGAGATCCACCTGCCTCTGCATCCCAAATGCTGGGATTAAAGGCGTGCATCACCACTGCCCAGCTGGAAGGTTTTAACTTTAACATAATAAAATTATATACAACAAAATCAATTATCAAGAAAGAATTACAGTTATAATATCCATTCTCTTTGTATTTGGCAAAATTAGAGAAAATACTCTTATTTTGGTAGTCTTATAGTTTTATATCTAATTTGCTTTTTATCATAACCAAGGTAAACTATAAGTTTAACTATTTTGTCTTTAACTCCATCAGAGACCCCAGAAGGATGAAATGTTACCTAATGACAGGGACATCAGGCTGCCTGGACAGTCACCCAAAGCTCCTCTGTAACGGTGGGACAGCCATCTTTGGCCTACAGGCCCAGCATATCTGACAGACTTTCCTGTGAAGCAGGGAATTTTGAAGGACTGTTCTACCTTGTCTTGGCAAAGTTTGGCAGTTGCCTTTCTTTTTGGACAGCATATGGTCAGCAATTGAGGCAAGGGCAGTTTCTTTGCCCACATGGCTAGCTTTTGCCATAAAGAAAATAAACTCCATATGGAGTTTTTTTTAATGCCCATCATCTTTGTTGAAGTAGATTGGTGCTGCCAGGAGCAGATGTGTCTCACTGTCATGAAAAGGTTTAGACATATTAAATGCCATATTCTGTAGGTCTTTGAAGTGTTTGTTTGGAGACCATTTCTCTATCTAAAAGTTATCTGTATGGCCTTGAAAACATACCTAACGTGACTAAGTTTGACTATTACAGATAACTATTAATCTGTATTTCTTAATTATGTATTACATTTTAAATGTGCATAAACACAATACCATCTGTTTTCATTGGTGTCTGGTCCTCTTGCTCTGAAAGTACATAAACTTTTAAAGGTAACTTACATATCTGCATTAATACAGGTATAGATGTAGAAGTGCATTGTACACAGGTCAGCCGAAGATGAGTTTTTTGTTTTATGTCTGAGCAGGTAAAATATACATTATGTGTCTTGTAGTTCTCCTAGATTTATTTTTTTATGTCTAGTCAGATTTTTCAGGTAATCTTCCTTGATCAAACCTGATTTTTCCTTAACTTGGAATGAATCCATATCTTCTCATTTCCTGTGGAAATAAATAAAGCACAACCTCTCCCCCAAAAGCAGTATACCTTTTGACCTAAATTTTGAAGGTAAGACATTTTAAAAACATACAGGTTGGTTTAATCTAGCAGCTTTAATCCAGTGTCTCCTAGCAGCTAAAAAATTTATAGACAACATAATAACATATAGAATTCAAACTCTGTATTTTCCATCTTTACATGGCTTACTATATATTACTTTATTCTTTTTAAAAGACTTTACTATTTTATTCTTAAGTCATTTTTTATACATCCTTTTTCTTCTCTCTCCCAAGCCTGTGTATATTTTTAAACTCACTGTAATCCATTTAGAGGCCTTTTTTTTTGTTCTGAATCTGTCTTTACTGTGTATCTGTATTGTTTTGTGATTGCATGAAACAATTTTTTTAATATTTTGTTTCATGTGCATGCGTGTGTGGGTTGCATGAATGTCTGTACCATCTCTGTGTGCCATGTGTGTTCAGTGCCCATAAAGGCCAGAAGAAGGTGCCATATCCCCCTAGAACTGGAATTATGGACAGTTGTTAGTTGCCATGTGGGTGCTGGGAATTGAACCCGGGTCCCCTGGGAGAGCAGTCAGTGCTCTTAACCACTGAGCCATCTCTCCACTCCCCAAATTAGACACATCTTAAACTGCTACGTCAGCTGTCTGCATTGCTTGGCTTAGCCCATGGCGGTTGTGGCAGCTGTCAAGAGACACTTTTTTTTTTTTTTTTTTTTGGTTTTTTGAGACAGGGTTTCTCTGTGTAGCTTTGCGCCTTTCCTGGGACTCACTTGGTAGCCCAGGCTGGCCTCGAACTCACAGAGATCCGCCTGGCTCTGCCTCCCGAGTGCTGGGATTAAAGGCGTGCGCCACCACCGCCCGGCAAGAGACACTTTTTTGTAGCCTGAGAGGCTGCGGGGACACGCCACCCAGCTTGGTCATGGCCAGCGGGAGAGACTGTGGGAATCACATGCAGAGTAGCTCATGGTGTGCTTGCAACTTCAAGGTACGTGTCTCTCTCCTGCGGTTGGTGTGAGACTGTGAGACTCTGTTTTTTAGGTCTTCTGTGAATCTTTGCCGGACAGTAGGCACCATTTGTAGGCGGGTGGGAACAGAGTCTCAGTTGTGACTTGGTGAGGACTAGTTCCCTTCAGCCTCATCCCAAGAGCCTCTCATCTTCAGGATGATAGCGGACGAACCATCCTCTAAGGAGGAAACAGCCAGCATGAAGTTAACTGTGAGGATATCTGAGAGCAAGACATGCACATGCACATGCGTGCTTACGTACAGATGCACATATGCATATAAAAGGCCACAGTTCTCACACATGCAGACCCTGTAGTTGCATAGTCACTGGTACATATTTGTGCTTACGTGTGTGCACGCGTGTGCACCCATACACAAAATGTTTCCATTACGTGCTTCTCTCAGATTCAATGATTCACTCGGGAGCCCGACTGCTTTCCGCGTACTCTCTTCTAAGGAATTCAGGCATCCGAGGGGGAGAACCTGAGACATTTTATCTCATGAGAAGTGAGCTCACTTCCCATGTACTTTGGAACTTTTTGGGTCTCACGGGTGCTGCTCCTGGATCCTGTATAGGGCATCCCTGCTCAGGTCGCGATCCTGGGGTCTGGAGCCATGCCAACAGATGTCCTTGGTGTTTGGTTAACAGTCTCCAGCACCCTCTCACCTGCAGTGCCTCAGCCTATCAGCCCTCCAGCCAGGACCGTCCCGGCCTTGGCTACACCATGAATGTCACCACATTGGCCCCATGGCAGGAATTACAACTTGACTCTTGACCCTCCTTTCAGCATAGGGCACCCAGACCTTCTTTTCCTACCTTAAATCTGTAGTAGGTAACTCCAGTAAGTACTATGAAAAAGAAAATAATTATGAGGCCACTCCAGAATGCTGTACGTTCACGTCTGCTGCCCCCAGCGTACACTTCTGTGGTTGGGGTAGTGGGCTGAAGAGGCTCTGAAAAGGGAAAAACAAAGATGAAGAGCCCTGTCCTGCTCAGGGTCTCCAGAAGGGCTTCTGCTTACCCTGGCAATAGGCACTGTGCCCCCATACCCCTCTTACCCCACCTCAGGGTGAGGGGCTCAGGCAGCCCCTCGTGGTGCACATGGCATGTGTAGTTCTGCTCCTCCCCAGAAGGCACCACCAGAGCTGCCCACTTCTGGAAGGTTCCGTCCCCTGCAGGTCTGGTCTCCACAAGTTCCATGTCCTGAATCAGTTCTTCCCCATCCAACTGCCAGGTCAGGGAGATCTCAGCAGGGTAGAAGCCCAGGGCCCAGCACCTCAGGGTGACGTCTCCTTCTTGTCTGGGATGGCGGGTCACTCTTGTCTGGGGAGGGTCTGTAGTAAACAGATAGATAGGTGCTGGTAGGCACAGCTTTATGTCTACAGTGGAAAAAGGCAGAAATGGGAGACATCCCCAAGGACCTTTGGGACACAGTGAGTAGAGACCTCAGGGAGGTGGTGGTAGGGACCACAGTCTAGGAGACTCAAAAATGTCCGCATCTGCTTGTGGGAAGCTACCCCCAGTACACTGGCCCCACCCAGACAGCCCACCTACAGCCCTGTGCTCAAGTGGCCATGGAGCTGGGCTTGGGGCAGCTGTTTACCCGTGCGAGTGAACGCCTCTCCTCCCAGGGTCAGGTATCTCTGCAGCCACAGGATGCATTCCTTCTCCAAGTAGCTCTTGTCTTTCTCCAGCCAGTACTCACTGTTTTCCCACTTGCGCTTGGTGTAACCAGCAATGAATGTGGCTGCTATATATTGCATAGAGTCCAAATCCAAGGTCAGGTAGTCCCAGCCATCGTAGCCATATTGCCAATGTCCTGTGGTACGTCTGCCATCCCTCATCTCACAGCCGTATGTGAACTGGAGGGTGTGAGGGCCTAGAACCCCCCAGGACAAGCATGTCAGGGACCACAGGTGAATTTCCCAGGCCTCTCCATTATGGTCCCTGTTGCCCTAGCACCGCCCACCAGATTCCTTAGGTTCTCCTTAGAGGGTGTTCACATTCTAGATCATGTAGTCTGACCACTGATACCCTTTTAAGTCAGCTGTCAGGGGCCAGGCCTAAGCTGCTTCAGGTCATAGTAAAAGATCATTGGATAGGGAGGTAGGACTTAGTTTTGCTGTGTCGTCACGCAGGTCATTCATCCTCTACAACTCTCTTCACACATGGAAACCTAGTGGTCTCCCCCACAGGACTCGAGTGCTGGCAGTCCCTGAGTCCAAGCGTAACCTCCCAGGGACAGCAGCACGGCACACGTGCGTGATGGTAGAGACACACTGTGCTCAGTGTGTCTCTCCTCGAGGCTCTAGAGAGTGCAGACACTGACTGGGGTGTGCGGTGCACACGTGCAGTCCCGCAAGTGGGAAGGTGAGGGCAGGTCATCCTCAGCTACATAGCGAATTAGAGGCTCGCTTGGGCTCCATGAGTCCCTGTCTCAAAAACAGCAACAAAACAAAACAAAAAGACAACCCCCCCAAAAAAAAACCAAAAACAATAAAACAAACTGAGTCAAACCAACCACTGACCAACAAGAAAACAAGCTTTTATGCTGACGCTTAAAATTTGAAAATCTCTAATGATTTTCAGAGTCAGCTGTGAGACTGCCTGGCAGGAGTCACAAGGGTCCCCAGCATGAGTGTTTTCCCGTAGAAGTTGTAAGCACTTTGAAGACATGCTTAGAACTGCACTCAAGGTTGTACATCTGTGACTCGGACTGACAGGTATTGAACAGATGAATGCCACACAGACCCTGAGCTCTGGGAGCAGATTGGGCCAGCCTGTTCTCAAAGCACAGTCTGTCGGGACCTCCTGCCTCTGGGGCTGAGGTGTGGTGGGTCAGTCAGTTCTGTGTCCCACCACCTTTTCCAGCACATACCCGCGTGCTGGCGGAAGTCATCTGCCCTCTGACGCTGGGTCCCAGAGCTGTTGTAGTACTGCTGTATATTTCTCAGGCTGAGCTGGAAAATCTTCATCCGATTGGTGAAGACCTGGGTCTCGTCAGCAAAGTACCCTGGATTTTCCCTCAGCCAGGCAACAGAAGGCTCTGCCTTCATGCTGTTGCTGTTGTAGTGGATGAAGGGCTGGTCGTCGATGAAGCCGGTGGCAGAAAACGCAGGGACCCTGGGACCTGGCGCTGTCACAGCCGTGTAGGAGTACAGCAGAGAATGCAATCCTGAGGTAGGGATCAGGGTTTAGTGTAAGGTACTGACTGAGGACCCAGCTCCGAGGGTGGAGAATGAGTGTGCCTGTGTGTGAATTGTAGAAGAGACAGGGCACACAACATAAAAACAATTTCATACCACCTGCCAGCCAAATGAATCAAATTCCACACTATACACTAGGATAATTCAGAGAATTGACAAAGAAATGTAAAATTAAGGGGCTGGAGAGATGGCTCAGTGGTTAAGAGCACTGGTCACTCTTACAGAGGACCCAATCTTAAATCCTAGCATCCACATGGCCCCTCACAACCATCTGTACCTCCAGTTCCAGGGGATCTGACACCTTCTGGCCTCCAAGGGCACTGTCTGCATGTGGTGCATTTATGGAGATGCTGGATCTCACTCTCCCCACCCCCTTCCCATATCTGAGATTTTTGTTTGTTTTAAATTAAGAAGTTAGAATACAGAGTAATGGGTTTCATCTTAGTGTCTTTGTGCATATGTGCCATTGTGCTTGGATATGGGTTATTTTGTTTTCTAAGTGCTGGGGTTGAACTCAGGACTCCTGTAGTTGTTTTTCATCAAATACAGTGGCTGCCCCTTAAGCAACTGCTGTTCTCCTCAGCAACTGCACCTTCTCCACAAGGGTTGCAGCCACTGGGAGTTCTGTTCCCTCAGGCACCAGCTCTCAAGAGGCTGAATAGCAAGTAGCTAACCTCTCCTTGCCCGTCTCCCCCAAAACCAGCACCCTTCTGCTCCACCCCCTCTTAAGCCCTAGCTACATGTGGTTCCCCCCACCACTTCCTGTCAGCTAGTTGAAGACGCAGCCTCCTGACCACAGGTTAATTTTATTTAATCAAACGGATGTAACACATCTTTGCATTATTGACAGGGCAGTAGGAAAAAATGCCACACACCTTAAAAATAATATCCCACAATGCCTATATGCTTGGAAGTTGCTCTCCCACTGACCTTCATCCCAAGCACTTTTCTTTTTGTAAAGATTACGTTAGGAGGGTTGGGGACTTAGCTCAGTGGTAGAGCACTTGCCTAGCAAGCGCAAGGCCCTGGGTTCGATCCTCAGCTAAAAAAAAAAAAAAAAAAAAAGCTATGTTAGGGACTGAAGAGATGGAACCAGCTGCTTTTGCAGAGGACCCAAGTGTAGTTCCCTGCACCCACATGCTAACAACCATCTGTAATCTAGTTTTGGGCGATCTTGAAGGGCCCTGGACAGAACTGCAGCCATCTTAGAACGAGTCAGCTAGGGACAGCAGGCCCTTGTACAAACAATTCCAGAAAAAACTGCAAGGGCCTCTCCACCCCAGACCCAGCCAATCAGAAGCTGTGCAAACCAGATGTTTCCTGCTGATAAAGATGGAATGCCATAACCGTCAGAGGATGTGAGTTTCCTGCTGATATAGATAGAATGACACAACAATCAGCCTATTTCCCTGCGGCTGCAACCCTCCAGTCAGCTTAAGCCAAGCATCCCTGGCCCGAGTAAGCACCAATTCTGAGCCTGTAACTATATGGATTTGGAAGTCTCCTAACCCTCTGCCCTAACCACAGTAAATATCCTGCCCTGCTACTGCTCGGGGTCCCTCCTGCTCCACCTCTGCATCCATCGGATGGAGGACCTGAGTTTTAACTTGAAATAAAGACTCTGTTTTTGCATTTGGATTAGGTCTCTAGGTAGCCTTTGGGGATTCTGGATTTTGGATACAACAGTCTGATGCCCTTTTGTGGCTTGTGCAGATACTTCACATAGTGATGGACACAAGCACCCATGGAGTCCAGAAGAGGGTGTTGGATACTCTGGAAGTGGAGTTACAGGTGGTTGTGAGTTGCCCACCGTGGGTGCTGGGGACTGAACTCCCATCCTCTGCAAGAGCAGTGTGTACTCTTCACTAATGAGCATCTGCGGCCTCTGCCCTTAGGCTGGTATCATTTCACTCACTGCTCTGTCCCATACTCCTGCCTCCTGCTCCTTCTCCAGCTGCTGTTGTAGGATATTATTTTAAGGTGTGTTACTTTTGTTTATATTGCATTTGTTTAACTCTGAAGCTGTGATACTTTGCCTGTCTAAAACACTTGATGGTCTAATAAAGAACTAAACAGCCGAGGCTGACAGGCAGAGAGGATATATAGAAGGAGAAATCTGAGAAAAAAGGAGCCAGAGAAGGAGGAGGACATCAGGGGTCAGCCACCCAGCCACACAGCCAGCCACAGAGTAAGAGTTAAAGTAAGATTACAGAAGTAAGAAAAGCAAAAAGCCCAGAGGTAAAAGATTGATGGGCCAAGCTAGTTAAGAAAAGCTGACAAGAAACAAGCCAATCTAAGGTCAGGAATTCATAAATAGGGATTTGTCTCTGTGTCTATTTATTTGGGAGCTGGGTGGCAGGGCCTCCAAAAGAGCCAAGAACAAACAACAACATTTTGGTGCCCAACGTGGGGCTTGAATATCCCTAGCGCCTGAGAAAGCTGAAAAGAAAAAGAAAAAGGTCACGGCTCCTTTAAGAGGAGCTACTGTTTAGCCGGGAGGGTAGAGGTTAAATAAAGACAGCAAGCTAAGTAAAAAAACGCCTGCCACAGTTCACGTGGAATTGAGTTCAACGCCTAGAGAGTTCTTGGTCATGAACCTCTGACTGGGCTGTGCGTTTTAGGCTTGACTTTCATGACCCTAGAGGATCCAGGTGTAGGTTAGCAGTTTAAAGTTTGCTCATATGGTCAAAAAGACTAGAGATATGCAGTAAAAGAGATCCTCATGGAAAAAAATTCTAAACAGGTTCCAGTGTGTTTTACATCTGCATAGGCTTAAGAAAGAAAGAAAAGGGGTATGCACAGTCTTAGAAAGAAATAGTTTAAAAATAGTGACGTCTTTAAAGAGAGAAGTAAAATAATAAAAAAAGAAAAAAGCCATGTGGAGATGGAAAATACACAGGGAATTGGATCCTGTATAGTATTGTGTTGATTTTGAACTTTTTGAATGCCGAAGAGCAAAAGAGAGCTGCCAGGACATGGGATTGAAAGGACTGCTGACATAATCCAACCTAATATTTTAAGAATGCCTTGACTTTAAAAAAGAAGTAAAAAAAATACTTGTCAATGGAAATAGAAAATGCTTTAGAGTTTTGTTCCTATAGGAGATGAGAGGCTGTGGATTCTTTCAGGGTTAATATGGATCAGGTTTGATCAGGTGAGACCTCCTGAATTTTGACAGGTAATATTTATCAACAGAGATTACTGCTGGTCTTCCCAGGACTTGGCCATTATCTAAAATTTTCTCTCTGGGACCCTAAAGATGTTTCTGTCCACAGACATCAGCAAGCAGTATGGAGATAACTATGCCCACATTCCCAAGAGTTGGGGGTGTGAGGGTGGTTTTTGGTTATTTGGTGGGTTATGGATGTTTGTTATCATTTAGGGGAATGTAGAATATTGAGAAAAGTTTAAAGTTATTTTTATTACACTGTGTATTTGTTTCTACTCTTGTTTAAAGGATTTTTCTATATTGGTACAAATTTAAGCAAATTTAAGGTTATTTTTGTTACAACATAGTGTATATATGTTTTTACTCTTGTTTAAGGTATTGTACCTATGCAATTCATTTAAAAATGTAAGATAAAATTCTAGATTTTTTTTTTTTTTTTCGAGACAGAGTTTCTCTGTGTAGCTTTTGGAGCCTGTCCTGGAACTCACTCTGTAGACCAGGCTGACCTCTAACTCACAGAGATCTGCCTGGCTCTGCCTCCTGAGTGCTGGGATTAAAGGTGTGCGCCACCATCGCCCAGCAAATTCTAGATTTTGAAAGCCATTATTATAAACTGTTTAGGATAATCAAGAAACATAGGTTAGTAGTTAGCCATTTATAACAATCAAATTTGTAGATATGTAAGGTATGTTTTCAAGATCATATAGAGGTATATTTTAGATAGATAAATGGTTTTCAAACACTTCAAAGACGTATAGAATATGGGATTTAAAATGTTTTGTTAACTTAGGGTTTTTCATGACAACGAGACACATCTGCTCCTGGCAGCACCAATATACTTCAGAAATGATGGACACTGAAGAAACTCCTTATGGAGTTTGCTTTCATTGTGGCAAGGTTAGCCACTGGGCACAGAAACTGCTCTTGCATTTGACTGCTGACAGTGTGCTGTGCAGACTGGACATGCGGGACACAGAAAAGAAGACTGTTGGACTTTGCCAAATAAGGCAGGACAGTCCTTCAAATTCCCTGCTTCTCTGAAAAGTTTTGCAGACATTCTGGGCCTGCAGGCTGAAGATGGCTGCCCCAGCATTGCAGAGGAACTTTGGGTGACAGTCCAGGCAGCCAAGTGTCTCTGTTGATAGGTCATATTACATCCTTCTGGGTTTTTGATGGAGTTAAAGACTAAATAGTTACAGCTGCAGTTTTCCTTAGTTATGATAGAAAGTGAATTAGTTGTAAAAATTTGTATTCACTATGATAGGATAGATAATGCATTATTTTCTCTGAATATGCTAGCTACAAATGGACAGAATATTGTATATTAATTCTTCCTTGATAATCGTTTTTGTTGTGGATAGTTTTTTCTTTTTAAGATTTATTTATTTATTATGTATACAGTGTTCTGCCTGCATGTATCCCTGCAGGCCAGAAGAGGGAGCCAGATCTCATTATAGATGGTTGTGAGCCACCATGTGGGTGCTGGGAATTGAACTCAGGACCTCTGGAAGAACAGCCAGTGTTCTTAACCTCTGAGCCATCTCTCCAGCCCCTTGTTGTGGATAGTTTTACTATGTTAAAGTTAAAACCTTTTTATTTAGACAAAAAGGGGGAAATGTTGGGGAATATTATTTTAAGGTCTATTACTTTCGTTTATGTTACATTTGTTTAACTCTTTGAAGCTGTGTTACTTTGCCTGTCTAAAACACCTGATGGTCTAATAAAGAATTGAACGGCCATTATCAAGGAGAAAGAATAGGCAGGTCTGGCAGGCAGAGAGTATATATAGAAAGAGAAATCTGGGAGAAAAAAAAGGAGCCAGAGAAGGAGGAGGACTCCAGGGGTCAGCCACGTAATGGAGTAAGAGAAAGATATACAAAAATAGAGAAAGGTAAAAGCCCAGAGGCAAAAGATAAATGGGATAAGTGAAGTTAAGAAAAGCTGGCAAGAAACAAACCACACCAAGGGTGGGCATTTGTAATTAAGAATAAGCCTCCGTGTGTGATTTACTTGGGAGCTGGTTGGCGGACCCACAAAAGAGTAAAGAGCAAAAACAACCAACAGCAAGCTGCTTCGCTCTTTCCTAGTTAAATCAGTTTCTGCTGCTTCTGCGTCATCCCTGTCTCCTGTATTACCTGCCTCCTTTAGGAGCTCTGCCTCCCTTTCCCCATGATTCCCTTCTGGTTTTGAGATCCCCTCATACATATGAAAGCACACACACACACACACACACACACACACACACACACACACACACGTACATGATCTTATGTTTATTTTCTGAAATGTTTATTTATTTTTGAGACAGGGTCTCATGTAGCCAAGGTTGGCTTTGAAATCACTGTGTGAGGCTGGTCTTGAATTTCTGATCCTTCTGCCTCCACCTCCCAAATGCTGGGATTGCAGGGTCACAGGTGTGAGGTACTACACTGGGCTCCATTTCAGCTTCTTTCAGTGTGGAAGAAAGCTGAGAGGAGCCCAGGCTTCCCTGCTCAAGCCGCTGAAGCCTCCTGGAGACGCCCAGGTGAGCAGGCAGGGTGGGGTCCCTGGAGAGAAGGGCTCTCCCTGGGATCACAGTCAGAAGCCCTTTGTGTCCCAACCTCCTATAAAGTCTCTGTTTCTTTTTCTTGTGGAAGGAGGGAGCGACCCCAGGACCTGGACAGGCACTCTTCCAACTGAGCTACATTTTCAGACTCAGTTTCTCTCCTTGTTTCGTAAAGGCACCCTTGTGATCTTCACATCTCTATCTACCGACAGCTACTGCGTGCTTCCCTGTGTGAGCTGCATGCTTCCCTATGTGACACCTGCCCTTTAAAATGCCCCTCCTTCACAGTCCTCTCTTGCTCTCTTGCCTGTTCTCTGTCTGTCTGTCTTCCTGCCTCTCTCATGTCCCCACTTCCTGATGGCTTTCCACTCTCCCCCCATAAACCTCTTACACTAGATCTGTTGTGTGTGGCGTGTTCTCTTAGTGGCGTCCCTTGGCAGGGCCTGCCACATGGATCCACTTTGCCACTTTCTGCCCTTTCAGCTGCTGCCACCCATATGGTGGACGGAGAGGACGGATCCAAACTGATGGGTGATGTTGCTCTGGATGCTGTGAATACGTTGCTTTGATTGGTTGATAAATAAAATGCTGATTGGCCAGTAGCCAGGCAGGAAGTATAGGCAGGGCCAGCAGACAAACAGAATTCTGGGAAGAGGAAGGCTGAGTCAGGAGTCACCAGCCCGCCGTCCAGGGAGTAGCATGTAATGGTGCACAGGTAAAGCCACAGGACACGTGGTGACATATAGATGAACAGAAATGGGTTGAGTTTAAGTGTAAGAGCTAGTCAGTGGTAGGCCTGAGCTAATGGCCTAGCAGTTTTAATTAATATAAGCCTCTCTGTGTTTACTTGGGTCTGAACAGCTGCGGACTAGGTGGGACACAAGAAAACTTGGAGCTATACCAAATAGACTGTCCTCTGACCTCCACATCTGGACTGTAGTCTGTGCTGCATGCTACACATATGTGTACACACGTGCGTGTGCACACACACAGACAGGCACACAAATGATTAAATGGACAACGTATAAGTAAACAGGCAGTTCAAAAAGCAGGACAGCTCAGCTGTCAAAGTGCTCACTGCTCTCCGCTCTCCCAGAGGACTGTGGTTTGGTTCTGAGCACTCATGTGGAGGGGCTTGTAACTCACATGGGCTAGCTCCAGGGGGTCCCATGTGCCCTCTCCTGGCCTCTGGGTACAGCATACACACACACACACACACACACACACACACACACACACACACACACACACACACGCCCACACACGTGCCCACACGCACGGCGCAAATACTCAAACACATCAGAATGTAATGAAAGGCCTGTCCTGGCTTGGTGGTGCATGCCTTTAAGCCCAACTCCTGTGAGTTCAAGGTCAGCCTGGTCTACATAGTGAGTTCGAAGACAGCCAGAGCTGCTATGAGACCACGTCCCATGTCTTTTTTTTAGGTTCTCTTTGTGACCCCAGGTCCTCATACACGGTCACGGTTGGCATGTGCCACGGGCTGACCTCACAGCTTGTGTTTCTTTATATTCACTGAGCTTCAGTTTTCTTTCTTTTTTTGGTTTGAGACAGGGTTTCTCTGGGAAGTTTTGGAGCCTGTCCTGGAATTCTCTCTGTAGATCAGGCTGGCCTCGAACTCACAGAGATCTCCTGCCTCTGTCTCCCAAGTGCTGGGATTAAAGGCGTGCGCCACCACCGCCTGGCCTGAATTTCAGTTTTATGACAGGGTCCCATTTAGGACCCAAGGTGGCCTCTAATTTGCCAAGTATCTGATGGCCTTGAATTCCAGGTCTTCCCACCTCCATTTCCCAAGTGCAGCCCTTCTGCAAAATGGCTCGGGGTTGAGGTCCCCCCCCCCACGCCTTGAATTTGCTCAGCGCCACAAAACCCCCTTCCCCACCCTACTCACGCGCTCCGCTGTCCGGGAGGCCACTCAGGAACCAGAAGATAAGAACCCACATGGTGTGGGCACTGTCCGAGTCTGCTCTGCCTGAGTTACTAGACCTTAGAGAGATTCCAACTGCCTGTGGGAACAAGAAACTGTTTAACCTCTGAAGTGGGGGTGGGGTAGGGTGGAGTGTTAGCAAGAGAGAGGGGCGGGTCTGACAGCGCGGACTTGATGGGTGTGTCTTTTTTCAGGGGTCCCTGCAGGGCTCGCCACCTGGATGAGGGCCATCTTCCCTGGAGATGTGCCCCTCACCCCCGCGTGGGCTCCGAGCACTGCAGGGGAGTGACTGCTGGGGCCTTGGAGCCCTGAGGGTTGCCGGAGCCCTGCCCTCGGCTCCAGCTTGTTTACTTTTGAGCTCTGGGCGGCGTCTGGCAGCTGCACCCTTCAGAGCTCTCGTCTCTTCCTGAGGGGTCCGCCTCTTCTCCACCCAGATAAGCTGTATGGGAGACCACAGCACTTCAGTTTTCTACCTTTCAGTTTCTAATCTTTGTAGCCCTAGTTCTCCTGGAACTCACCAGGCTGGCCTCGAATTCAGTTTCAGGTCCCAGCACCAGGTGATGGCGCACAACCCTTTGATGTATGTACCCTTCTGGCTACTGCACTTACATGGAGTACATCTATTAAATAGACAAACATACATATAAAATAAAAACATAAATCTGGGTCTGGAGAGGTGGTTCAGTGGTTAAGAGCACTTAACAGTTCTTGCTGCTCTTCTCAAGGACCCGGTTTGGACACTCAGGACAGGTGACTCACAGCCACAGATTCTGGGGGATCTCATCCAATCCTCTGAGGGTTCCATACACATTCACACACATAGAAACACACATAAATAAATTAAAAAACATAAATCTTAAAAACCATTACATATAAAACCAGTCATGGTGGTATGTGCCTTTACTTCCAGGACTTTGAAGGCAGAAGTGGGTCTCTGAGTTCCAGGCCAGCTGGGACTACACAGTGAGATCCTGGCTCAAAAAAAAAAAAAAAAAAAATTAGAGGAAATGTGTACCTCAGCACAGTAAAGACCATGTATGGAAAACTCATGGTCAACATCTCACTGAATGGGGAAGAAGACAGATCAGTTTTATGGCTGTTACTCAATGTAGCCCTGGATTTCTAGAGCAGGGGGCAGCTTAAGGGTGAGTGGACCATGGGGCCTCCATATAACCGGTTTCTAGAACACAGTGGGTGTGCTGGTGTGGGAGGAGGAGCCAGTAAAGAAGCAGTTCCTCAGACTCCGCACAGAGTCGTGAACTAAGTCAAAACACTGCTGGAGAGAGAAGAGGAAGGCAGAGAGACATGAGGCCATGTTCAAGACTGTTATGCAAGAGGGTCATTTGGGGTCATCCTGGTCTTCAGGGCTAAGGGTGAAACTCACATTGTCATGGTTAAGAAACAAAAATTTGTGTATATTTAAATTTAATGTCAGCAAGAAAGGCTGTGCCCCATTGCTTCCAACATTCCACAGCACGGGGAACTGGGCGGCCTCCTGCACCTGGGGGATGCCTGACAGCAGAGAGGGCCCTGGGGGAGCATGGCCCTGGAGAGGGCCTCTCATACCATTTCTCTGTGTTAAGAGAGCGGCCTCATAGGCGGAGAGACACAAACTCCCTCGGTGCTCACCGTTCTAACTTAGGATGTCAATTGCTTTCTTTTTCCTTCTCGACAGTATTTTCTGGTTTGGTTTTTTGTGTTTTCCTGCTCTCTAGGCAGCACATGCCCTGGCTCCACGAGGTGTGAGAGCAGAGCATCTTTACCGTGGTTTCCTCTGATGACCTGTTAACCCTTGCCTTGCAGTCGTTCAGACAGAGCAGCAGGACCATTATGTCCTCCTGTTTGCTGTGCCTGGGCGGGTCAAAGGCCAGGCTCTGCACTGCATCCATGGCAGGAAATCCGCATTCCAATCTACTGTGTTCCTCCCGGCCTGTCACTGCTTGTCTCCGTAGCTTCCTTACATGGTGTCCAGTCACCAAGACCTGCACAACTAGGGACTGACCTAACCAATCCAGAATTCAGGAGGCTGAGGCAAGAGGTTTGCCATGGGTTCTAGGCCAGCCTGGGCTACATATTGAGTTCAGAGCAGGGTAGGATACAGATGAGACCTTGTCTCAGTGAAAGGGGTGGTAGGGTTGGAGACGGGGCAGCTGTTAGGATTGTATGCTGCTCTTGCAGAGGACTGGAGTTTGGTTCCCAGAACCCCCGTCCAGCAGTTCATAACCACCTGTAACTCCAGCTCCTGACGTACTCATCTGGACTCTTCATCCACCCACAGGTACAGACACACGCTTAAAATAATAAAAATAAATCTTTAACAATAATAAAATAAAATGACAAAATAAAGAAAAAATGGTCAAAGAATCTGAACAGACATTTTGTAAAACAAGACAAGCCTGTGAAGAACTGTTGACTATCAGAGAAATGCATGTAAAACCACAGGGACACACCTGCTTGGTTAGCATGTCGGCTAGCAGCAGCAATAATGGAAGAAGAACCACTGGTGAGGAGGTAGGGGAAAAAGAATGGAAATTACCGTAGCCTTTGGGGGAAGCAGCATGGGCAGTCCCCCAAACTCAAAATATAACCACCATATGACCCAGTTATCCACTAGCAGGCGTTTATTGAAGGAGAGAGAGGGAGGGTCTCGAGAGACGGTGAGGGACTGAGTTCAGATCCCCAGCACTGGCCAGGGCTGTGGACAGGTAGACATACACGGCTCCCTGGAGCTCACTGGCCTGCCAGGGTAGCTGAACTGATGAGCTCCAGGTTCAGTGAAAGACAGAGCATGTCAGCCTCTGGCCTCACATGCACACATGCACACATGCACATATCCTCACACACATAAAAAAAGTGCCATTCTGCCATGAAAAAGAATGGAATCTTTCAATTCATGACAACGTGGATGGAACTTTGTTAAGTGAAGTAATCCAGGCACAGAATGATGGATGCCACATGTTCTCTCACACCGGCTGCTTAGAGAGCTTATCTCACAGAGACACAAAGTGGAATAAAGATCACGAGAGGGACGAGAGTATATCAGTCGGCTTTTTGTTACAGTAGAAAGCTAGAGACATGCTTCATATAAAGAAAATAAGGTTTGTTTGAGCTCAGTTTTGGGAGCTTAGGAGCATGGTAGCTGCATAAACTCAGAGTTTGTATGCAATGGATGACTGAGTCACAGGATGGCTCACCCGCTGAGCCATGTCTCTAGGTCCCCTATTTTAATTCTTTTTAAGTGAAAATTTTAATTTTAATTATGTCATTTTTTTAACAAACATTTTTTTTTGTGATTGTAGGACTTTCTTTTGTGATTGTAGGACTTTGCATAGAGACTGTTTAGATCAAACAGGGCATTTTAAATACTTAGAAATAGCTTATATGTTAAAAAAAATTGAGGGGGTAGGGAGATGGCTCAGTGGTTAGTGTTTGCCATGCACGCGTGAAAACTGCAGTGGCATCCTTGGAGCCCACATAAACTCTGGGTGGGTGTGTCAGCCTGCATGTAATTCCAGACTCCAGCGGTGGGGGATGGGATTCCCCAGAGCAAGCTGGCCTGCCTTATCAGGGCTTTGGGTTTGATTGAAAGACCCTGTTGTCATGAATGGTCATCACTGTCTTGTGTCTTGTAGCTGAGCTTAGGTTTTGGTCTCTCTTACCCGGCTACAGAACGAGAGCAACTGGCTAGATTTTTACATTTCTTTGTTTTGATTTTATTACTGTTGTGTTGGTGATGGGGCAGCGTGGCATGTGTGCTGTGGCTGTGTGCTGTGGCATGTGTGCTATGACATGTGTGCTATGACATGTGTGCTGTGGCTGTGTGTGGAGGTCAGAGGACACTTTTGTGGAGTTGGTTCTCTCCTTCCACCTTTCCTTGGTGGAGTTCCAAGTCCTCAAAGAGGAGTTTGAAGAGGCTCTTGGCCTCGGTCCTGCCTTTCTTGGCAGAGGGAAGAGAACAGGAGCTGTCACAGCCTCCACCCGATCTTACCAGTCTCCGTTGGACACAGGGGACTCAGGCCCTGCGGCAGCCTTCAGTTTGCCAGGAGGAGGCCAGTTCAGGTCATCACCAGGCTTCAAAGCAAACACTTTTACCCACAGAACCATCTCACGGGCCCCTCGGTGGGACTCAAGCTTCTGTCACTGGTACGTTCACAGCTCCCAGGCTGTGGGCAGACACCAGTTCTGGACACTGCTTCTGCAGCCCACATGCTCTGAGGATCTGAACTCTTCAACTCTGGAACATGAAATTAAGCTGCTGGCCACTGCTGGGTCTAACTGGTATTCCAAAAGAATATTGAATGATGTGAACAGGAACTAAGGGGGTGACGCCATTAAACCCTTTAAACCTGTGATTGGTGATGTTTCCCAGTCCTGTTAAGGGGCTGAGTATGGGGTGGAAAGGTAGATGTCTAAAACTTGTACAGGAGGGGCCCTGAGATGGTTCAGTGGGGAAGAACTCTTGCCGCCAAGCATGATGACCTTGACCTGAGTTTGATCCCCAAAACCACATGTTGAAGGGGAGAACCAGCTCCCTAAAATTGTTCTCTGACCTCTACAACATTCTGTGTCATGCATGCATCTCCACAATAGACACACAAAACAAAGACTTAAAAAAAAAATGCACCAGGTGTGGTGGTGCATTGCTTTTAATCCCAGCACTCAGCAGGTAGAGGAAAATGGATCTCTGTGAGTTCAAGGCCAGCCTGGTCTACATAGCAAGTTCCAGGCCAACTAGATGTACATAGTAAGACCATGACTCAGAAAACAAAAATAAAAAATATCCTCCCCCAAGGAAAAACCCCTTGAGCTGGCAAGATGGCTCAGTGGGCAGGGTGAAGCAGCTGCCACTGAGCCCGATGACGAATGAGTTTGATTCCTAAGGACCAAACTTCTGCAGCTTGTCCCCTGACCTACACACACATGCTGTGGCACATGCCCCCCACAACACACACACAAAACACGTCAGAAAACAATTAAAATTCTTGTACATGGAGTAGAAATTGGACCATTTGGGGAAAGGGAGGAGACTAGGGGAGGGGGACAGAATGGGTAATGGCCACGAACATGGTCATAGCGTGTGGTATATTTAAATGAGAACGCCATTGTGAAGTCCTTCACGTCATATGATCGTACCCTAATTTTATTTATTTATTTATTTTTATTTTTTATTTGTTTTTGTTTTTTCGAGACAGGGTTTCTCTGTGTAGCTTTGCGCCTTTCCTGGAACTCACTTGGTAGCCCAGGCTGGCCTCGAACTCACAGAGATGCGCCTGACTCTGCCTCCTGAGTGCTGGGATTAAAGGCGTGCGCCACCACCGCCCGGCAGATTGTACCCTAATTTTAAAAACTTAAGAAAATTAAGTAAAAGAAGCAAAGGGGGAAAGCAGACATTTAAAATCATGTGATATTCCATCTGAAGTGACCAGCTGACTTCAAGACTACAGCATCAGGCTGGACATGGTGACAGGTCACGTTATCTGAGAACTTGGATGCGATGGCAGTGGCAGAGATGAAACCAAGCATGTGACCCACCACTCGAGGATGTGGAGGCTAGAGGGTCAGGAGTTCGAGGCCAGCCAAAGCCACGTGAAACCCTGTCTCAAAAACACAAAAACAAAACAAAAGCCCATTTTAAAAAACAAAACATGAATGATGTCCCCAGATTTCAAAGGTATAATTAAGTAAAGTTGGTAGATGTAATTGAATTAATGAAATTAGACATGTGACTATTTCCATTCAGGGACAAGCTTGTGACAGTCACATAACTATTTTTGTGTCTACTTGGTCCTGAAGCCAAAATTTTCCTTCACTTTGGTTATGATGCGAAAGTTGCGTTTGGGTAAAAGAAAAAAATAAATGAAAGGCTGGACAGATGGCTCAGAAGTTATGAGAATGCACAGCTCTCCCAGGGGACCCAGGCTCAGTTCCCAGGACCCATGCTAGGCAGCTCACAGCCACCCAGCTCTACCCAACACCTACATTTACATGTACATGCCTCCACACAGAATGAGAAAAGATGTAAAAATATGAATGAAACTGCTTTTGTCTCCTTTCTCTGACTCACTGAATGAGTATCAGCTCTTTTTTCTCTTCTCCCACCCTCTCAGGGACTCTGTGAGGCCCTCAGACTCGGTTTCCCACCCTGCTTAGCTGCTGAACCAGACACCAGCAGGCCTATCTTGCAGCTGAGTAAGTTCCATCAGCAGCTTGAACTGGGGGGTGTCTGGAGCTGCACAGAGAGATCTGACTGGAAAAGGACCATTTCCTGAGAGCCTGTGGGGGAAAAGAAACTTAACCCAGGAAAGGAAAGTGAAAGTGGAGGGGACTGGAAAGGGGGCGTGCTCCAGGGAACAGCCCGGCTCTCCTGCTCTTACACAACAGGGTCCTATCTCAAAACCTTCACATGTCCCTGTCCTCCCCCAGTCGGAAAGAGGCCAGGAGGGTGGCAAGCTGTGGGTGACCCAGCCTGGCTCATGGTCCCAGAGACTGGACTGTGACCGCTGATCACATTGTTCCATAAACCAACTCTAGGGAGGGCAGGAGACGTGGCCCGGCATCTACTAGGCAAAGTGCGAGTGTGAGAGGGTGAAGCCAGTCTTTCCCTTGTGGAGTTTATGTCCAGGCTAATGAATCTCTGAACCCAAGCTTTCTCCCCTACCCTCTGTGTCACGGGTGAATTTTTTTGGTGTTGATTTTTGGAGGAGGGGACAGGCAAGGCCTGACATGTTTCTGTCACATGTTTGCACACAGGTCCGCTGAGACGGGACAACAGGAGGAGGAAGGCACAATGCTTACTCGGTGAGATGACCACGGAGCCACGAATTTGTTTTCTTCTACCCAGATTCAGCTTGTACTTCAACTTTACATCCAGGTTTCTAGGGAAATCCCCACTGCTCTTCCTTTGCCGTTTGGTGCTGCTTAGGGGTGACCAATGGGACTGGCAGGCTCCCCAAACCTTTATACACTAGTTCCCCAAGTGAGTTCCAAAAGCTAAGGCTGTTTCTGGTCACACTAGAAGAAAAAGGAGGAAATAAAATGGTTATTGTGCAATAATATTAAGAGGTGGGTGAGAAGGGGCTGGAGAGATGACTCAGTGGTTAAGAGCACGGCTGCTCTACCATAGGATCTGAGTTCGATTCCTACCACCTTCATGGAGTCTCACAGCCATCTGTAAGTCCAGTTACAGAGGATATAATGACCCCTTCTGGTCTCTAAGGGCACCAGGTACACAGGTTCACAGACATACATGCAGACAAAATACCCATGCACATATACTTGAAAGAAGTTTTTAAGAGTTGAATTTAGTAGAGCTGGTCCTCTGAGCTTAGCCTGACCATCACCGTCTTGGGACGAGCTTCCACGGTGACTGAGCAGAGACCCCAGCTTGCGGCTGGAACATAGCAGAACTTTAACAAAATTGAGGGGATAATTGACACTGAGTCTGTTGGCACTTTTCTCTTGGGAACAAGGGAGACAGCTATAGAAAACTGCCCTGCTAGAATCCATTAGCCACCACCCCTCCCGGCTCGCTGCCGTAGACCGATACCTAAGGCTCCCTAAGTGCGTATAAAAGGAAACAGTTAACCAGGGTGGTCGGACTCGGTGCAGCTGCCCAAGGTTATGTCCAATAATCTGTACGCTGCCTTGAGTTAAATTCATTTCTCATGGTTGAGTCATTCTTTCAGTGGTTGGTATTGTCCAAATTTGGAGATAGACAACTTTTTCATCTCCCCAGGAAATCCATATGACATTTGGTACCCGATGATGAATGTGGTGTGCTGTGTGTGATGGGAACACCCTGTCATAGTTTAGTTTCTGTTTTTATAAAATATTCTGACAGGAAGCAGCCTGTGGGAGGAAGGCATTTATTCAGTTTATAATTCCAGGGTACAGTCCATCAGGAAGTCAAGTCAGCGGGAACTCAGAACAGCCATGTCACACAGTCAGAAGCTGAGAAATGAATGCATACAGATGTGCTTGCTTGCTTGCTTGCTCAGCTGCATTTCTCCACTCATAGAGTTCAGGACTCCCTGCCTAGGGAATAATGCCACCCACAGTAGGCTGTGACTTCCCAGATCAGTTAATTAAGACAGTCTCCCACTGACAGGCCCACAGTCCAACCCGTTGTAGACAGTCCCTCACAGAGACTCTTCCCATGTAATTCTAGGTCGTGTCTAGTTGACAAAGCTAGAACAACACTCAGAACTCCTACTGGACTGGGGAACTTGTAGTCCCTGGGTGCCGCGGGTTTGGGGGGCTGCAGTGAGGTGTAGCCGTGGTGGCACGTCCCTACCATGGGGAGTCAGATATGCGGCTGAGGACAAACCATTGCCTGAAGGAGGAACTCTAACTAGAGGGGGACTTACGGCCAACATTTTCTGCTTGATCATCAGATGAGGCATAACAATTAAAAAGGAAGATAAGGATGCTAGCTGGCATAGTCTACAGCTGGTAGTGTGAAAAGACAAAGGAGTTCAAGTCCATTCAGGGCTAAAGAGTTTATCCTGGGATCCAAAAAATCATGGACCCCTTGGGAAAGAGAGATACATACTGTGGGGAGCTAGGGACAGGAAGAGGAGAAGATGATTGAGAAGTTGAACTCTTGGTTGAAAGAAGAGAAATATCTATAATCCAGCATGCAGATAGGGAAAATTTGGCAACCCCAAAGTACCCCCTTCTGATCTATTAAGATTATGGGGAGCTGGGTGGTGGTGGCACACACCTTTGTTTCCAGCACTCGGGAGGCAGAGGTGGGCAGATACTGGAGTTCGAGACCAGCCTGGTCTACAGAGTGAGTTCCAGGACAGCCAGGGTTACACAGAGAAATTCTGTCTTAAAAAATCAAGGGGGAAAAAAAGGTCATGGGGAAACTTGTATGCAGTTCATGGGAAACCCTGGTGGTGTGTCTGCAGGATGTGGGAGTGTGTGGTGTGAACTGGAGTGCTGTGGAAGAGGTTATAATACCCCCATACATCCCTCTCACCATGTCCTGGTTAATGTTAAATGCCAACTTGTCACAACCCAGAATTACTGGGGAAGAGAATCTCAACTGAGGAATTACCTACATCAGGTTGACCTGTGGAATGTCTGTGGGGATTTTCTTGATTGTTAATTGATGTAGGAGGGCTCAGCCCATTGTGGAAAGCACCATTCCCTAGGAGGGAAGTCCCAGGCTGTATAAGAAAGGCTAGCTGGGCATAGTAAGCCATGCCTGCCAGACAGTAAGCTGCTGGGGGATATGTGGTGGTATTGTGTTCCCCCAAATATTGTGCACCCTAATAAACTTATCTGGGGTCAGAGACAGAGCAGCCACTAGATACAAAGGCTAGAAAATGGTGGCACTCACACCTTTAATCCTAGCATTCCAGAGACAGAAATCCCTTTGGATCTCTGTGAGTTCAAGGCCACATTGGAAATGGCCAGGCATGGTGACACACGCCTTTAATCCCAGGGAGTGGTGGTAGAAAGCAGAAAGGTATGTAAGGCATGAGGACCAGAAACTACAAGCATTTGGCTAGTTAAGCATTTGGCCTGGTTAAGCTTTTGGCTGGTTAAGCTTCAGGCTTTTGAGCAGCAGTTCAGCTGAGAGCCATTGGGATGAGGACACAGAAGCTTCCAGTCTGAGGAAACAAGACCAGCTGAGAAGTTGGCCAGGTGAGGTTAGCTGTGGCTTGTTCTGGTTCTCTGATCTTCCAGTTCACCCCAATACCTGGCTCAGGATTGATTTTATTAATAAGAACTGTTAAGATTCCTGCTACAGGCATGTCTTTCTGTACGCTGTGAATATATGTTGTTCCCATTGGTTAATAAATAAGCTGCTTTGGCCTATGGTAAGACAGCTTAGAAGTGGGTGGAAAATCCAAGGAGAGAGACAGGAAAGAGAAAGGCCCAGTCTGGAGAGACGCCGGCCTGCTGCCCAAGTAGTAACATGCCAGTAGATCAGTAAAGCCAGGGAACGTGGCAAAACATAGATTAATGGAGGGTTAATTTAAGATATAAGAGCTAGCTAGCAAGAGGCCTTCCATAGGCCATACAGTTTATAAATAATATTAAGCCTCTGAGTGATTGTTTTATAAGAGGCTTCAGGACCTTGGGGCTCAGCAGCACCAGAGAAAACTTTCAGCTACAGAAAGCAACATCTTTTGTGGTCCCTGCCAGCTTCTCTGGCTGTAAGGTGAATTCCTTTGTTGTAACGTGTAGAATGGCAAGCAGGCATCATGGATGCATTCGTTTCTCTCTGCCTTGACTGTGGATGTGATGTGAGCAGTTGTCTCAAGCTGCTGCCACTGTGACTCCCTTAGTGACGGACTGTCTGTTCCCTGGAACTGAAGCCCAATAAACGTTCCAGTCCCTGCATTGTTTTTCGGCTAAAGTGTTTTGTCACAGCAACAGAAAGGGAACTAGGACACATTGCTAGTGTGACATACAGCAGCATGGGGACATTAGTCAGGTAGACATCGCTAGTGTGACATACAGCAACATGGGGACATCAATCATGTAGACATCGCTAGTGTGACGTACAGCAGCATGGGGACATCAGTCATGTAAGACCACTTAAATCCTGGGTCTTGACCCTGCATTGTGTGACCAATGTTGTGGGTTATGAACAATAGTGAAAGGTCTTAGAATGCACAAAGACCAAAATTTAATTCAAATTCAAAAGTGGTGCTTTTAAGATGTTTCTGGCCGTGCACACTCTGGCTTTGTCACATGACTTCATGGCAGCCTTTGTTCTGAACACACTGTGCACTCTGGATGTTGCCCTTTGATCGTACCACTCTGCATACCAGGGAACAATGCTTGAAATTCCACAGCTCAGATTTGAGGCTACTGCACGTTAGGAATGGCAGTGTATAATTGTACACGAAGTTTTGTGCTCTTATGGAGACATGGTTTAATTACCAAAAATAAAGACTTGATATGTTCCTCGCATTTAAGTGTATTGCATTATGTTAGAATGTTTGATTTTAAAAGTTGATATTTGAAGCCGGGCGGTGGTGGCGCACGCCTTTAATCCCAGCACTCGGGAGGCAGAGCCAGGCGGATCTCTGTGAGTTCGAGGCCAGCCTGGGCTATCAAGTGAGTCCCAGGAAAGGCGCAAAGCTACACAGAGAAACCCTGTCTCAAAAAAACCAAAAAAAAAAAAAAAAAAAAAAGTTGATATTTGAAAGGCTGGAGAGATGGTTCGGCAGTCAAGAGCATGGACTGCTCCTGTAGAGGACCTGGGTTCAGTTGCCACCACCTCATGCAGGCTCACAACTGTCTGTAACTCCAGTTCCAGGGATCTGATGCCCTCTTCTGGCCCCCGACAGCACCAAACACACAGGCAGTTTACAGATATCCATTCAGGCACTCAAACAACAGAAATAAAAATCTTTTTAAAACTTGGTATTTGAGTTGCTGACTTGAGTCTCATTAAAAAAAAACCAGCACTCGGGAGGCAGAGCCAGGCGGATCTCTGTGAGTTCGAGGCCAGCCTGGGCTACCAAGTGAGTTCCAGGACAGGCGCAAAGCTACACAGAGAAACCCTGTCTCGAAAAACCAAAAAAAAAAAACCAAACCAAAACAAAACAAACAAACAAAAAAAAACTGCTCCAGTTTAGAATCTAGTCGGTTAGTGGAGCATTTTCCTAGAATACATGAAGCCCCAAATTTCGTAGTCAGTACTGCATGAAACAGGGATTGCTACAGAGCAAGTTCAAGGCCAGCCTGGGCTACATGAGTCCCTCCCTATTTCAAAAAAGAGCACAAATTGTTAAATGAACTTTTGTTTGGCATTAGGACAGTTTCTGAAATGGACTTAAACATACTTTTGTCATTTTGTCATATTTATATGAAGTAGCATTTTCAGTATAGATAACTATAAAATCAAACTATGAAAAAATATGAAAAACATTGAAGATGTGTAGCTAGAGTTTTCCTGCCTGACCCACAGTCAGGACAAATCTCTCTCACCTGCCAGTCCCACAGCCGCTCAGACCCGACCAAGTAAACACAGAGACTTATATTGGTTACAAACTGTATGGCCGTGGCAGGCTTCTTGCTAACTGTTCTTACAGCTTAAATTAATCCATTTCCATTAATCTATACCTTGCCACATGGCTCGTGGCTTACCGGCATCTTCACATGCTGTTTGTCATCGTGGCGGCTGGCAGTGTCTCTCTCACTCAGCCTTCCACTTCCCAGTTTTTTCTCCTCCTTGTCCTGCCTATACTTCCTGCCTGGCCACTGACCAATCAGTGATTTATTTATTGACCAATCAGCAACACATTTGACATACAGACCATCCCACAGCACGTCTCTTTCAAGTTAGCAGCAGCCTGCCGGTTTGAGCTACTGGCGTGCATGCTCGACCTGCAGTATGGTGGGAATGAGGCCTCTGCAAGTGGCACATTAAGCTGTGTGGTGGATTTAGCCTTTGCTAGTACAAAAAAAAAAAAAGAGGTTTCTGGGATACACACTGCTTTGATAGAAGCATAGACCCACTATTTCTGAGAGTTGATGGCTCCCAGAGCTGGCGGAAAATGTATCACCGCCATGTTGGGAAGCTGAAGTGGGCGGAGCCAGCAGCGCCAGCGCCGTTTCAGGCTTAGAAGGCTGCAGTTTAAAGCAATAGGCTCAAGCTAATATAAAAAAATAAGCCACGTAAAGATGGCTACCACACAGAGAATCTGGATTATGTTCTCTTTGATATTCATAACTGAAGAAAAACATTTGATTACAAAAGCTGTTAAGTTATGCCAAAATGTATATTTTAAAGGTACCTTGACTTCAAAATTTGGATGTAAGGATATGTTGCTTTGGAAAGGAGGCTCTGCTTTTGTTTCCACAGAAAGCCAGAGGCTATGGATTTGTTCCAGATTAAGATACATCAGGTTTGACCAGCCAAGACCCCCTGAAAGGTGACACCAAGGCCCAGATGATCCAACATCCAGAATGGTTTCAAGGCAACTGGCTCAGACGATACAGCCTCACGGACTACTCCATGATCCTAAAATTTTCTTTGTGTCCCCATAAGATACAGCGCCCCCCTCCAGCAGGAAGTAGTAAGAGAAGCTACGCCCAAATTCCCAAATTATATGTAATTTTACTTTGTTAAGGTTAAAACCTTCCTTTTTAAAAAAAGAAAAGGGGAAGTGCTGTGGGATGTTCTGTATGGCAAATGTGTTGCTGATTAGTCAATAAATAAAACACTGATTGGCCATTGGCTAGGCAGGAAATGTAGGCGGGACAAGGAGGAGAATAAAGCTGGGAAGCGGAAGGCTGAGTCAGAGAGACACTGCCAGCTGCCACCACGATGAAAAACAGCATGTGAAGATGCCGGTAAGCCACGAGCCATGTGGCAAGGTATAGATTAATGGAAATGGATTAATTTAAGCTGTAAGAACAGTTAGCAAGAAGCCTGCCACGGCCATACAGTTTGTAACCAATATAATCTCTGTGTTTACTTGGTCGGGTTTGAGTGGCTGTGGGACTGGCGGGTGTCAGAGATTTGTCCTGACTATGGGCCAGTCAGGAAAACTCAAGCTACAAAGATGCTCTTCAGGATCAAATACTTGGCAGAGACTTAAATCACCCCACCCTATCCCTAACCCTGTATGTTTTGAGAGGTTTTTATATAGCTCAGTAGCCCTGGGTGGCCTTGGACTTGCTATGTAGGTAAGGATGACCTTAAACTCCTGATCCTTGTGTCTCTACTTTCTGATTACCAGGATTACAGGCATGTACCACTACACCTGACTAAGTTTAATTTTTTTTTTTTTTTTGAGCTGAGGATTGAACCCAGGGCCTTGTGCTTGCTAGACAAGCGCTCTACACCTGAGCTAAATCCCCAACCCCTAAGTTTAAATGCTTTAAAATAAGCATATCCATATACAAATTTGTTTTAATCTTTAGGAAGTGGTAAAATTATGTATGTATACCAAGTACTTGGTTTTAAAAAAATTTTAATGTTTTATTATCAGTAAATATTTGATTTATATACCTGTTTTATATACCAGAAACCAAAGGCCTTGTAAAAATATCCTGGGTGGCCAGGGCAGTGGTGGCTCACGCCTTTAATCCCAGCACTTGGGAGGCAGAGACAGGTGGATCTCTGTGAGTTCAAATCCAGCCTGGTCTACATTACGTGTGTGTGTGTACACCTGTGAGTGCAGGTGCCCTCAAAGCTCAGAAGAGAGTATCAGGTCCCATGGAGCTGTGGTTACAGGAGTTGTGAACCACTTATGCAGGTGCTGGAGTTGAACTCGGGTCCCCTGGATGAGCAGCAGACAGTCCACCCCTGAGCCATCTCTCCAGCAACCTGGCATCCCAGTCCTTTTAATGGCCTGTGTGGGCAGTAGAGACACTAGATGGCTAACGATAGACAACAGAGTTGAACCAAGTGTTGACTGTTCATGCCACTCTTCATACCTCTCCCCTTTTTTAAGGAAAACCATTTTCATGAGAATGGTGGCTGATAGTGTGGTCTCCCTACAATAATGAAAGTGTGTCACAACTCAGCACACAAACATCTGTGCAATGGTCACAGTCACCGCAGGACGCTGCTGCACTACATTGATGGAAACTGTGTTTCCATTTGGCACAGACAGACACAGCAGGAAAGGCCCAGCGAGGAATCAGATTTTTATTTTCAGTGGGAAGTCAGGAGCTGCAATTCTGTAGCAGAGAACAGGCAGGATGGAGGTGTTCTGTTGGGAACAGGAAGGTTGGTGCCTGAAAGGTCAGCATCCTGGTAAGCAGGGGTGGACTCCAGATCTTCATTGTCCTTTTAGGAGAAAGCAACACCTTCAGACGTTTGGTTCTTCCTGAGTCAGAACGTGTTCCTCAGTCCCTCGAGGCAGTTGTCTGAAGCTATAGAACAAGATTCGTGAATAGTCAGTCTTACCATGACTCATTAAAATGTGTAAATCTGAGACCTGGGACCCAGCCCTGTCCCTTTGCCTCAGCCCCAATCCCAAGCCCCCAGGGTGTCACTTTTTCAAGTCTCCAGAGACTAGTCGAGCTCTGGGAACTGTACAAGTCTGCAGAAGAAGAAATAACAAGGCACACTCAGGACACTGAGAGGATGTGGGTGGAGGAGGAATTATGGGCTGACTGGACTCCCCACCAGCTCCGGCTCCACCCCAAGAGCCTCAGGGACAATCCTGTTCCCCACACTTACCTAAATCATGAGCATAATAGCCTCCTTTTCCACCTGTGAGAAGAAAAGCTGTGAGAGACCAGGGAAGACCCCGACCCTAGGAAGGTTCCAGAACTGACAGCAGACCCAGGTTAGAGACAGGAGCAATGAGGGGTGTGGATGTTTCCCATTAGTGGGGCAGAGCACACTTCTAAAAGGGGCTGAGAGAACTCAGACCCTGCCCTGTCCTACCTATGTTTCTCCTCCTCTTCCTCACAACAGCCACCACAGCAACAACGGCCACAGCTCCAAGGAGAACCAGAACAGCAATGATTGCCATGATGGGGACAGTGGACTGAGGGGTTTCTGGAAAGGAAGGACAGGAAGGGAAGTGAGGGTCATGACCCCAGCTCTCAGTCCTGACCCCAGCTCTGTACCCACACCCTCCTTACCCCATCTCAGGGTGAGGGGCTCAGGCAGGGCCTCATGGTACACATGGCATGTGTATCTCTGCTCCAACCCAGAAGGCACCACCACAGCTGCCCACTTCTGGAAGGTTCCGTCCCCTGAAGGTCTGGTCTCCACCAGCTCCATGTCCTGAATCAGATCCTCCCCATCCCTCTGCCAGGTCACGGAGATCTCAGCAGGGTAGAAGCCCAGGGCCCAGCACCTCAGGGTGACTTCTCCATTCAGTATGGGGTGATGGGTCACATGTGTCTTTGGGGGCTCTGAGGGGAAGATTTGGGAAAATGAGGCATCTTGCTTTCTTCTGGGGGCTTAGCAGTGTACATGTGACCATTCTGGGAATGGACAGGAGAACTGGGGTGTGATTAGGGTGTCCATATATTAATAGACCCCAGCTAGAGCACACGAGGCACTGGGATAATCTGTTCTTTGGGGTGCTCTAGGATGTGAGTGTGACAGTATGGGGTAGGAGGCCTCAGGGCTCTGCAGACTGATGGAGGGGAAGGGCTTCTGGTCCTGAGCTGAGTGAGGGCCGGAGACTCAGAAAAGCTGGCATCAGATTCCAGAGACACTGAGTGTGGGGCGTAGAGGGAGGCCTGAGAGAAAATCCCCCGTGTGTCCAGGGACATCATCAAGGCTGACCTTCTGTAAAAGAATTAGTCACCCTGTGGGAAAAGCAGCCTGGAGTCTCCCTCTCCTTATTCCTCAGCCCAGTGCCTGCTGGACAGCGTTCTTCCTCTGAGTGTGCCCCAAGCCTTTCCTCCACACTACCTAGGAAAAGCAGGGAGGGGTCTCTAGGTACCTGAGCGCAGCAGGGTGGCTTTCCCCAACTCCAAGTATCTCTGGAGCCACTGAATGCACGCGCCCTGCAGGTACGCCTTCTGGTGGTGAGCCTCGTCTACGTCCTCTAAATTGCTTTTAGAGATCTGTGAGGCCAAGTCGTTTGTGGACCAGGAGCGCAGGTCCTCGTTCAGGGCGATGTAGTCCCGGCCGTCGTAGGCCTCCTGACAGTACCCGCGGAGCAGGTGGCCGTCCGGCCCCAGGTCGCAGCCGTACATCCACTGTAGCGTGTGAGTGTCTGTCGGGACACGGTGGTCAGCGCCACCTTGCGGCCACCCTGCCCATAACTGTCTGTCCATAACCCGAACGTTCAGAAACAAAAGTGTAACCTAAACCTAAGCCAAACTCTGCGGGGTCTTTAGGGTCTGGGCAGGTGTTTGGATGAAACTTCGACCCAGCGTGTCAGGATGACCCAGGCCGGTTCAAGCGGAGAGGGAGGGTCATGTCTGTGATCCGGGCCGTGGTCACTCACCATTGTCACTCTGGTTGTAGTAGCCAAGCAGGGTCTGAAGGTTCAATTTGAAGTTCTTCCCTGTGTCCCTGGCTTTCCGTGTCTCCTCCTCCCAATACTCCGGCCCCTCCTGCTCGACCCAAGGCGCCCGCGGTTCTACCCTCGGGGTCTCCGCGTCGCTGTCGAAGCGCACGAACTGCGTGTCGTCCACGTAGCCGACAGCGATGAACCGGGGCTCCCCGAGGCCGGGCCGGGACACGATGGTGTGGAAATACCGCAGCGAGTGCGAGCCTGGGGGCGGCGCGCGCGCGGTGAGACCCGGAACCTACTCCCGGCCCAGGGTTCCCGGTGAAGGCAGGGGAGACACCGACCAGGGCAGCTAAGGTGCGCTGACGGGGTACCGCCCCCACCCGGCGCCCTGCTCCTTCCCACAGAGTCCCTTTCGTTCCCCAACCCTCACTCACTAGCCTGGGTCTGGATCAGAACTAAGGAGCTGGCCAGCAGCGTGAGCCAGATAGCAGAAGACCTGGTCCTCATTTCTGTGGTCTTTCTTCCTGTTGACTGTGTAACTTTGCAACCACCTTTTCGCTGATTGGCTTCTTTAGAAACTAGGTGTCCAATAGGAATGAGAATTGCGAGTGCATCATCGGTGTCCACAGAGAAGAACCCGATCAGGGTTGAGAGACAAAGTGAAACTGTGCATATGGTCAACCAGTGCTGCGCACTACCCTGGGGTCTTTATTAAAGAAAATGCTGTAAGAGCCATGACATGACCTGGGACTTCAATCGGACCCATGTCCTCCGGCTCTTATAACTCTTGGGCAGTCATGCATCTCTTGGATAGTGTGCCCCGCCTGGGACTCAGCCCAGCCCACCCCTAGGAATAGTCCTCAAACCTAAAGCAAAATTCAGACTCGGATCTCTGTGAGTTCGAGGCCAGTCTGGGCTACAGAGAAACCCTGTCTCGAAAAACCAAAAAGCAAACAAACAAACAAACAAACAAAAAAGCCCTCAGACTCTCACAGCGGATCCCGCAGCCTCCTACCGACTTTGGAACACTGGGGTCGGGGAGATTCGGTCCGTGGGATCGTCAAGGGTCGTGACCTCCAACCCGGGAGACACTCACCGTCCTGACTCTGGTGGTAGAGGTGGAGCAGGTTCCGAAGTCACGTTCGGAAATTCTGTGGGTGCTCCTTGAATATCCGAGTCTGGCGCTCCCAGTACTCCGGCCCCTCATGCTCTACCCATGGAACCCGAGGCTTGGCTCTCAGAGTTTCCGCTTCTCTGTCGAACTGCGAATTGTCCCCGTAGCCAATGGCAACGTACGGAGGGGCCGGGACACGATGATGCGGAAATGACGCAGCGAGTGCGAGCCTGGGGGCGGGTACGGTGAGACCCCGACCCTCCTCCCGGGACCCCGGGCGGGTGCGCGGACCGGGAGGGGAGCAGGGCGCGGGGCTCGGGACGCGGGTGGAGAAGGGCGGGAGGGTCTGGCCGGGCGACTTTGGGACCCGGCTTCTCCGGTGCCGATCCTGCTCTCACGGAAGAGACTGGTTCCCCTGGACCCATAACTCACCTGCCTGGGTCTGGGCGGAGCCTAGGGCGGCAGCGGAGGACAGGGAGGAGGGTGCGGAGGACAGGGATCCGGGTCTTCAGGGTTCTCCGGAGCCAAAGCACAGGCCTGACTGGTCCCGGACTCTGTAACTTGTCCTCACAGAGATTTCTATCACGTTCTCTAGCAACCCGCTCCCACTGAGAGTGTGAGGTGAGGTTGCTGTTGTGGGTACGAACTTGAGAGCCACCGACAGAGTAAGAAGTGAAACCAAAAGTCTACACTTCCCAACCCAAACCTTACATTCAGTTCTCAGAGCCTGAAAGCCACTTCTAGGAACATGGAACTTTATCCTGCCTCTTTCCTCAGCACGAGCCCTGTGAATAACATTGTCTCCCTGAATCCAGGCCCAGAATCTGTCGGATGGTAATCCCGGTGGAAAATATCTGGATAAGTGCAGCTGTTCTGCTCTTTCCAACCCCAGTGTGAAGACCCAGAGCTGGTCAGGAATGCAGTGGAGAAACAGTTTCTTTTAAAAGCAGAGTACTAGGGTCCTGTGTTCACCTGCAGGGGGCAGCTCACACTGCCAAGCCTGACTGGTTTGGAATCTGTGTTCTTCCTATGTGAATGAACGGGTTAAAGCAGCCACCTGCCAGACCCAGGGTTTCCTAGTGTTTGTCCCCAGATGATGCTCCCTGATCCCAACTGTTGTGTTTTACAATGGTCTTCATTCCACAGCCTAAGTTTGTGTGAAGACAGAACATAGCTTCAGTGCAGCTGACCACCTTCCTGCAGGTGGCTGAATGCAGCCCAGCAGTGAACGCTGCCCACATTCCGTGTGTGGCTGTATAGACACTCCTGTGTTCCAGTTAATTAATAAATTAGACTGGTTAAGAAGTGAACAACTTCACAGAGCAGGACTGACCCCATAACTGGCTGTTGTGCGCTCACACTTTGGTGATGAGAGATGACCCGTGAGCTGAGGAGAGGAGGGAGATGGATAGTGCATGGTGTGGGACAGTGATCTGAAAACTGAGGTGGCCTCTAAGTACCTCAGCCCTGTGCAGGGTGGACAGGGTGGACACTGACAGAGGATGGTTTTTGTGTCAGGTGGCATCGACCAGAGACAGAAATTTGATTCCTTTAGGCAGACAGGCCAAAATGTAAAATGTAATGTTATTTCTATCTGTAATGTGTGACTTGTTATTTTTAGACCGCAGTTAAACAAAGGTCACTAGAACCAATAGAAAGTGACATCACCTAGACGCAGAACTTATCCAGAATATGGACTTCTTGGATTCACAATCAGGATGATCAGAATCCTCACCCATCTTCCTGAAGTCACTCTATGGTGTCACTTTTAACCATTATGTCTTCCTTGTTTTCCTGCTGTTTCTGTCCCCAGCTCCTACCTTCTCCTCAAAGCCCACAATCTCAACCACACAACTCAGCCCTTGGGGAAGACTGCTGACATTTCCTGCCCTGACTCCTGACCACGTAAGCTGCACTTTCTCAGCCCTTATGGACCCAGTTAACAATTTCCTCCAGACACAGTTTTTTTCTTTTTTATTGTTGTTGTTTCATTTTTTGTTTATGTAGTTACTCATTTATTTTTGAGATAAAGTCTCACTATGTGGCCTTAGCTCTCCTGGAACTCTCTATGGAGACTAAGCTGGCCTGGATCCTGCTTGCTGCTGCCTCCTCCATTTGGCATAAAAGGTCCATTTTCTGTGGAACCCCTGTCAAGGTGGACTTGTGCCTTCCAGCATTCTCCTGGCTGCATGTACACAAATGTCCCTTCTCACCTCCTCTTGCTTGCCAGTGGAGAGTGCGGTCTTGCCAAAGGTAGGGTTTATGGACCAAACCCCACTTTGTATTAAGGCCACAGGAAAGTCCATTCTGTGGGCACTTTCATCATGCCACCCACACTCCTGTTAGACAAAAGAACCTCCCTCAGACACTCCAATTCCAAGGTCACATACAGTGCCTCAGGCAAGTGCCCTTGTCAAGTCTGAAAAAACACTAATAAAAGTGTCCATTCAATCAACCAGAGTACCTCCTTGTCCTGCCCCTCCTGGAGAAGACTGCACCTCCTCTCACCAAGCCCTTCACAGTCCTCTCTCTGGTCACAACAGGGGTCCTAACAGGCTCCTCAAGGGTCTCCGGTCACAACAGGGGGGTCCTAACAGGCTCCTCAAGGGTCTCCAGTCACAATAGGGGTGGCGGGTCCTAATGGGCTCCTCAAGGGTTCCATCTGCACTTCGGAATAACAGTCCCGGCACCTCAGTGCCAGATTCCTGCCTGTTGATATTTCCTTCATACTACAACTTCCTCCCTTCTCAGTGTGACTTCTTGCACTGTCCCCTGATTCCTTAGGAGTATTCTTCCTGTGTGGATGTAATGCATTGTCTTCTGAGATGTGGGAAGATGTTTTCACCACTGTGCTAACAAGTCCTGATCTCTAACATCCCTGGAACAACCAACTTCCTGCTTTCATTTTTGAGGTCTCTTAACATTCAGAGCTGTTCATCTCTACCCCTCTTTTTTTTTTAATATTTACTTGTTATGTATACAGTGTTCTGCCTACATATATGCCTACAGGCCAGAAGAGGGCACCAGATCTCATTCTAGATGGTATGAGCCACCACATAGTTGCTGGGAATTGAACTCTAGACCTCTGGAAGAGCAGTCAGTGCTCTTAACCTCTGAGCCATCTCTCCAGCCCCATCTATACTCCTCTTAATCTTCTTATACTTATATAAGCTCATGCATGGTCCCAAGCCTGTGCTCACACATGCACACACTCACACACACACATACACACACCCTTGCTGTCAGCATGGCATGCTGGCTTCCCTTTCTAGTCTCATGGCTCCCTGTGGTCTATGACTCTGTGAGCATGGCTGCTTCTTTCCTCTGAGCTCCGCAGCAAGGGTCACATGATGGTTCCCACTGCTGCTCCATTTTATTCTCAATTTCCCAGGATGGACTTGGTTGCTGCCTTGATACACCCAGAAAACTCTGTCACTTTCAAGGCATCTCTATAGTCCCTATCAACACAGATGTTCGAAGCTAGTCTGTGATTCCCCCTCAGAATCCAAGCCCACACCTGGATTCGATGCTCTAATTTCTGATGTCTTGCTCACTGCACAGATTACTATGCAAACTCAAGACCTCAGAAGCCCTAGACTACTGCTTTGAAATACTAGGGAAAGATGCAAAGAACCCCAGGGGAGTTCAGCATCTCACTCAGGCAGTGTTGGATTGCCAGGTGCTGCAGGAAGAAGCACTTGCAGAACAAAGAAAACCCATGTCCTGTCAGGGCTGAGGGACTGGCTCCTGAGGAACTGTCTGCTTCTTCCGCTGACTGTCTTCACGGGTGGGGACTGGCCAGCAACCTTCCTTCCTCTTCAGCACTTACTTTTACAGTCTGCAGAGCTGCTGAGCATGAAGTCACTGTGGTCACACCAACAGGCCACCTCTCACACAGGAACCTCTCTGGATTCCCTGGTGTTCAAGCTTCACTCCAAGGCCCATAGCCAGCTCAGGGCAGCAGCATGGGCCACAGCATCCATAGCAGCCATGGGCTCACCTGGGCAACTGGGGCTGTTGAGAGCTGGGAGTTGGATGAGGAAAGGCACCAAGAGGGCAGCCAGGATGAAGAGGGGTGAAGTCCTCCCTGCTGTCATCTTTGACCTCAGCTTCTGAGTCCTTGTCCTCTTCTGGGACAGCTCCAGGCTCAGAGTCTCCTGGGCTCCCGGGTGTCCACATCCAGCTCCTGCAGCTGGATGCACTGGTGAGACTCAGCACCCTGCAGACTGCACTGCACAAGGTTCGCTGTGCATGGCCTTTCGCTGGCTGGGTGGCTCTCTTGAAGCTGTGTAGGAGCTAAAGGTGCCTGCAGGCTTGCCTTGGAGTCTCAGGGACATCTCTCTTTGAGTTGATGAAATTCCTGGGACCCAGGGCTGTAAAGCTAGTGAGGGTGAACTCAGCAGAGGTTCTTACTGGAGGAGCAGCCTGAGGTCCCCCAGGTTCTCAGTAAACTGAATCCAAGGTGTTGGGAGAAGTGTCCTCTGGTTTGGGTCTCATGCAAACCCGGGAATGGAGACCCTCAGCTGCCCTGGATTGTGCTCCTGGCTGTGGTGAACTCCTTCCTGTACCAGGCAGCTCAAGGTGGTCCTCATCCCCTCTGGCTGTGAGGTGCTGGGTAGCAAAATGTGGGGCAAATTGAAGCCACAGTGGCAGGTGGGGTTGTGGGTGGGGGCTGGTGCACCTGCCTTTGCAGCTCCTGCATTGGTCCATGAGATGGCAGATTAGGCACTGGATGCAGGTGGTGATGCCACAAAGAGCAAGATCCCAGTGACTCTGAGGCTCTCCCCCAGGTGGTGGTGTTGCTGGCCTCACTCTGAGTGATTGCTGCATTGAGAAGGCCCTGAGCTCCAAAATGACATCTGCACAGGTTGAGAAAAGTTGACAGTTCCCAAAGAGGCCAGCAAAAGGCATCAGATACCCTGGAACTGGAGTTTCAGAAGGTTGGGAGCCAACATGTGTGTGTTGGGAATTGAAGCTGGGTCCTCTGGAAGAGCAGGATTAAAGTAATGATGATCCGGGCTTAAGGCAAGGAAGTGTGCAACCTTGAATAGAACCCCAGTCCTCTCCCAAGATGGTCTCTGGGAGTCTCAAGTTGTTAACATGTTTACAGAGGAGATGTCTTTTCTTCCTGCATCACTGTGGTCTAGAGTCACCTTAACAATTGTAACCCTGTCAGGTGTCCCTGTAAAACCATCTGCTGATCTCACTTAGGTTCCTTAGCAACACTCTTGAGGCTAATAGCTTCAAACTTCATCCCAATAGTTAATATGGCTATTTGTGAAGGTAGCAAAGTCTAACAAACCCACACACATGCTGTAGGTATATCTGTCTCTTCCTTAGTTCCTTCCTTCCTTCCTCTCTGGTTTTTTTTTTTTTTTTTTTGAGACAGTGTTTCTCTGTGTAGCCCTGGCTATCCTGGAACTCACTCTGCAGACCAGGCTGGCCTTGAACTCAGAGATCCTCCTGCCTCTGCCTCCTGAGTGCTGGGATTAAAGGCGTGCGCCACCACTGCCTCGCTTGTCTTTCTTAACTTTTATCTTTCTCTTTTCTTGGCACCTCTCTTAATCCTCCTGTTTAAAGTCTACATTAAAATACTTTTATTGGTTCTTTTCATGGCACTTCCTAGGGGGTGGCCTGTGTCAGGATGGAGCTCACTATCTCCTCCCCAGCCACCCGTCAGATATTCATGGAAGTGGATGATGAACGCAAGCTTTGTACTTTCCATGAGAAGGGAATGGCCACAGAAGATGATGCTCTGGGGGATAGTGGAAGGGCTACATGGCCCGAATCAGTGAGTCAAGGACAAACTAGGTTTTCCCATGAAGCAAGGAGTCTGGAATATGTAGGGACATTCTTGTTACAGACCAAGGAACACTGGACAGAGGAAGGGCAAGTCTGTTCATAGATGCATTGTGGATGCCAGTCTGGGTGTTCTCAACTTGGTTATTGAAGGCAAAAGAGACAAAGAGGTTCCTGGACTAATAGATACTACGATGTTTCAGCAGATGGGGCCCAAAAGAGCTAGCAGAATCTGAAAGCTTTTCAATCTTTCTAAAGAAGCTGATGATGTTAGTCAATGTCTCGTAAGAATGTAAATAAAGAAGGTAAGAAGTTCAGGACCAACACACCCAAGATTCAGCATCCTGTTACTCCATGCGTGGAGTAACAGACAGTGATGTACTGTTTTGGAGAAACATTGCACTGAGGAAAATGAGGACAAGGCTGCAGAATAGCTTAAAATTTTGGCCAAATGAATGAAGGAAGCCTAAGAACAGATACCAGGAACAGATCCACAAGAGATGCAGGCTGTCTTCACTGAAAGCTTCTACTCAGATAAGTCCTTTAAAAATGGGTCTTTAAAAGTAACACATAAGTGATTAAACCTTCAAAAAATACCTGTATTGGGCCAGCCAAATGGTCAGTGGTAAAGGCGCTTGCCTCCCCGTGTGCCTTCCCTGGACATTCATGGTTGACGAAGAAAACAGACTCCAGCCAGTTGTCCTGTGGCTTCCACACATGAGCTATGGCTCTCACACATACACACGCAACAAGTAAATAGATTTATGCCACCTTAATATAAGAAGATAGAAAAGATGTTTATTAAACCCCAACTCTACTAGTCCACAATTCTTTTCTGCACCAAAGCCTTAGATCCCAATTTGGCCTGAGTAAAGGATTAGGGGGTGCTACTCAGGGAGCTGTGGGTGAGAGGATGGAGCTTTGTGTCCAACCCTGTGCCCTTGATGCTGTGACAAAATACCTGATGGGAAGCCACTTAGGGAAGAGACAGGTATCAGGTCTTCAAGACCGGAAAGTGGGCCCACCTCTGTTCACAGTGTTGAGAGATGGCCTGCTCATGTCCTGGTCAGGAAACAGGAAGGGGCTCCAGTGTGCTGCTGCCTTTGTCCTGAGACTCCAGCTGATGAGTGGAGCCACCTTACAGTTAAAGGATCTCTTTCCTCCTCAGTTAAACCTGGCTAGAAACACCCTCACAGACACACCCAGGGGGCGGCTCCTAGGTGATTCTTAGTTCAGTCAAGTTGACCATGAAGATGCCTGATGGGAATCAAAACAAAAGATTCCATTCTGAGCCAGGTGGTGATGGCATATGCCTTTAATCCCAGCACTTGGGAGGCAGAGGTAGGTAGATCTTCCTGAGTTGGAGGCCAGCCTTGTCTACAGAGTGAGTTTAGGACAGCCAGGGCTGTTTCACAGAGAAACCCTGTCTCAAAAAACCAAAAATAAATAAATAAATAGGTAGATAAATAGAAATAAATAAAGATTCCACTCTGCAGTAGCTGTTCCAGGAGCTTCCACAAGAGGTGGGGACGTGGGGACCCCTGAGTGAGGAGACTAAGCAAAGGTCTCTGAGAGCCCCAGGGAGACAACACCAGCAGAGTGGTTGGATGACAGGCAGATACCTTTTTAGGGTGAGAAATCGATTGGTCTAAAAACGTCTGACATGGCCTGCATGATCCTCATAGTGCTCAGTCCTCCAAAACCAAGGCATCGTCTCCTACAAGATTCAGAGCAAACTCAGGGTGGTCATTATAAAGTGGTGACTCAAATGTCCAGGTCCAAAGACTCTCTGCAGCCCCATCATGTGTCCTCTGTCTTACCCCATGTCTTACTCACCTCATTATCCACAGCAATCTCGCTAGAGTCCTGGCGACTGTCCCTGCCTAGGAAAGAAGAAAGCAGGACCTGGTCAGGCTTCAAAGGCTTGAGGCTGAAGGAGGGACTAAGGAACTATGGGCCTGGCGAGGTCTCATGGCCCCAAGGGGCTCAGAGAGCACCCCTCACCACACTTCCTTGCTTCCTGAGTGGTGCTCCTTTCTCTCCCACCTGAGAAAAGAAAACCACGCATGGGTGGCATGGAGCAGGCAGTCATGAGGGCCTAGACCAGTGGTTCTCACCCTTCCTAATGCTGGGACCCTTTAACACAGTTCCTCATGTGGTGGTGACCCTCAACCAGAAAATTATTTTCTTGCTACTTCGTAACTGTAATTTTGCTACTGTTACGAATCATAATGTAAATCTGATATGCAGGGTATCTGATGTGCAACCTCCAAAGGGGTTATGACCACAGGTGGAGTGAGAATCACCGGCCTAGAGGCAGCCCCTTAGTCCTGAGCCCAAGGGAGATTTCCAGATCTGAGGCGATGTAATACCTTCCTGGAGTTTTGTCCCCAGTGAGACCTCCACCTGTGACCGCTGGGCATGAGGTCTCAGTCACCAGAACCATCCCCAAGCAAAAACTGCCCTTCAGTTCGCTCTACTTTTGAACGTTCAAGAAAAAACGTCCCAGGCTAAGCAGACAGAGACGTGGAGAATACATCCCATTACCTAAGCAGGGCACATACTACCTATGGCCTGACACCCTCAGTGGGACAGGGAAACTCGGAGCACATCTCTTCTCTACCTTCATTCTTCTACATACCCATGCAAAACACCGGAGCTCTGAGGATGAAGATGAGGAGGCGGCAGAGGAGGCGGGGGATGATGATGATGATGATGATGATGATAAGAATCACAAACGAGTCATTTATGCTGAATTTCTTGTACCAAGCAGGCTCTGGGAAAGGGAGGGCAGGTGAGGACCTCCCAACTCTCTGTGCTGACCCTGTTCAGGGTCCCCAGAAGAGCTAGGGCTTACTAGGACCCCAGCTCTGCACCCACACCTTCCTTACCCCATCTCAGGGTGAGGGGCTCAGGCAGGCCCTCATGATGCACATGGCATGTGTATCTCTGTTCCACCTCAGAAGGCACCACCACAGCTGCCCACTTCTGGAAGGTTCCATCCCCAGAAGGTCTGGTCTCTACAAACTCCATTTCCTGGATCAAGTCTTCCCCATCCAACTGCCAGGTCATGGAGATCTCAGCAGGGTAGAAACCCAGGGCCCAGCACCTCAGGGTGACTTCTCCATTCAGTATGGGGTGATGGGTCACATGTGTCTTTGGTGGGTCTGAGGGAAAGAGTTGGGAAGATGAGGCATCTTGCTTTCTCCTGGGGACTCAGCAGTGTTCATGTGACCATTCCAGGAATGGACAGGAGAACTGGGGTGGGATTAGGGTGTCCATATATTAATAAACCCCAGCTAGAGCACACATAGGCACTGGGGTAATCTGTTCTTTGGGGTGCTGTAGGATGTGAGTGTGACAGTATGTGGTAGGAGGCCTCAGGGCTCTGCAGACTGATTGAAGGGCTTCTGGTCCTGAGCTGAGTGAGGGCCGGAGACTCAGAAAAGCTGGCATCAGACTCCAGAGACACTGAGTGTGGGGCGTAGAGGGAGGCCTGAGAGAAAATCCCCCGTCTGTCCAGGGCCATTGCCCAAGTAAAGAAACTGTTCATCAGTTACTAAAAGATTGGCCTCCTGCTAGAGAAAACAAACTTCTCATCTGTCAGTAAGAGAAGGGCTGTTCTCTGAAGGAGTCATTCTTGGTCAAAGATCTGGAACCCAAAGAGATTGCTGCCCCCCAGGTCTCTAGGGAGGAGTGAGTTAAAGCTTTCCTGTTCACCCATCTCCCTCTGCTCTTCCTTCTCCAAAGGAAGGATCTTACCCAGAACTTGTGCTTGCTGAGCACTGCTCAAACTGTGAGCTATGCCCCAAGTTCTCTCATCCCACCCATGCGCCCCCAGCTCTCCAAACACCCAGCAAGCAGCCTGAGGGACTCTTGGGCAGGGTATGGCTCCCCAGGGCACCTGAGCGCAGCACTGTGTCCTTCCCCTTTTCCAGGTGTTTCTGCAGCAGCTCCACGCAGTTGCCAGCCTTCAGATGGGCCTCTAACTTCTGCTGCGAGATCTGAGCTATAGTGCTGGTGGTCATTGTCTGGGAGTTCAGGTCCTCGTCCCAGGTGAAGAAATACATGCCATCATAGGCCATCGTGTTGTACCAGCGGAGCAGGCGCCCATCTGGTCCCATGTCGCAGCCCTGCATCCCCTGCAGTGTGTGAGAGTCTAGCGAAGACAAGGTGGTCAGCGCTCTCAGGAAGTGCAGCACCACTAACTGCGGACCATGTCCAAGGTTATCCCTGCAGGCTCTTTTCTGGTTAAGGAACTGGGCAGGTCTCGGATAACACTGCAGTCCAGCGAATCTGGACAACCCTGTTGGTCCTGAGACGCAGGGGTCGGGGTCACTCACCGTCCTCGCTCTGGTTGAAACGGCGAAGCAGGATCATCAGGCTTCCCCCAGATTGTTGTGCTTGAGTCCTGGCTGTCTGGGTCTGTAGCTCCCAATATTCAGGCTCCTCCTGCTCCATCCACTCGGCACAGGGCTCCACTCTCGGATTCTCCTCGACACTGTCGAAGCGCACGAACTGCGTGTCGTCTACGTAGCTCACGAAAATGAACCGCGGCTCCCCGAGACCAGGCCGGGACATGGCGGTGGTGAAATTGAGCAGCGAGTGCGAGTCTGGGGGAAGCGTGTTGTGAGACCCCCGACCCTCCTCCCGAAGGGAGCAGAAAGGTCTAGCTGGGTGGTTGGGAGATGCAACTTCCTGGGTGCCGCCCTCGCCCCTTCCTGCTAAGGCCATTTTCCTCCTGGGTCGCACACACCTGCGCGAGTTTGAACCCAGAACAACGGGGCCGCCAGCAGCAGGAGGAGATCAGGGGGCACAGTGGCCCCCATCCTTGGGCCCTTGAGCGTCCGGTTCTGGGTGGCTCTGGGGCAACTTTATAAACCAGAGCGACAGTGATTGGATTATCTCAGAACCTTCTTCAAATGAAGAGTGAGAACAAGTATTACGTCATCAACATCTAGGCAGAAGAACTCAACAGAGGTTGAAAGTGAAACTTAGACGTTTTGCCCAGTCGGCACCCTCTCCCTGAGAGGGAGCCATTGCCTGGGGACCTGAGGCTGCAATGACTCCAGAACTCCCCTCTTCTGAGTCCTATTTAGAGGCTGTCTGTGGAATTCAGGGGGAGACTGTAGACTGATCTCAGACCTTCTCTAATCCAACGCTGTAGAGGTGCACTCCACCCCGTCCTGGGACGCAGGACTCTTCCAGAAGAAAACATATGCCAGGGAGTGTGTGGGCCACAGGGCACAGTGAGCTGGTTTGGGAATTTACTGGAGAGGTAGGTCTCTCTCTGTCTCTGTCTCTGTCTCTCTCTTTCTCTCCTCACCCTTCCTTGTGTGTCTGCCTCTGTCTCTCTGTCTCTTTTTCTCTCTCCTTTTCTCAGTTTTTTGAGACAGGGGCTCTGTGTAGCCCTGGCTCTTCTGGAACCTGCTCTGTGGACCAGGCTGGCCTCCAACTCAGAGATCCAACTGCTTCTGCCTCCCGAGTGCTGGAATTAAAGGCGTGTACCACCACGGACCAGGACCAGCGAGATGTGTTTTCTCAATAAACCTGCAAAGTTGTTCAGCAAGTCCTATGGAGACTCCCACAGGTTGTGTCTCATGTTCAGCTCAGCTTTCCCCAAGCCCACAGCGAACTTGTGACAGGATTCCTTCCTCAGTTCTATGGTGAGGCCCCCGGTCTTTGCTGGCAGTCAGGAGAGAGCAGAGGAGGACTGCTGGTAACTCTCCATGGACCCAGTGTTCTTTGCCATGTGTGTGCCTTTATGGTCAGTGAAGGAAATCTTCCACATACCATCATCACACTGTGGGTTTGGGCACAGAAGGACCTGGTCCTTTTAAGATCTGTCCTGATTAGGACAGTCCCTCAGATCAAAGTGGAGCCCTAGAGACATGAGCAGAGTCCATTCACTGACCTTAGCATTTGATGGACTGACCAAGGGGATGGTGACTAGCCAGTCTGGTTGTTGGGGACCATGGAGAAGGAGCCCAGCTTCCTTGTGTGGGAAATTGGTCACAGTGAGTTGTGAAAGTCTAATAGCTAAATGGTTGAGGCTGGTAGTGAATGGAAATGAGAACATGGCCACTCCCAGGTGGTTGAGGAGGTTTTTATGGTAGATATAAGGGAGAGAACAACCAGAGACATCTGGAAGAGTCCAGACTGAACATGGCCATCAGAATACACCAGGCGAAGAGATGAGAGAGGGCAGGGAGTAGGAGAAGAGGGACAAGAGAGGGGACCAGGAGAGGGAGAAGAACCACAGAAGTGGAGCCAAGTTGGGAAGCCCTTGGCCAAATGGCTGGATTATTTAGGAAAGGGGCACTGGGAAGGGAAGCAAAGCTCAGGGGCTGGAGAGTTTAGGGCAGGGGTGGAGGTGAGCACTGCTGAGAGGAGCCAGGACTCTGTAACACAGTGGTTCTCAACCTTCCTAGTGCTGAGGCCCTTTAATACAGTTCCTCAAGTGCCGTGGGTCGTCTTTCTGTATGCTGTGAGTGTGTGTTGCTCTGACTGGTTGATAAATAAAGCTGTTTGGGCAATGGCGAGGCAGAATAAGGTGAGGTGGTACATTCAAACTGAAGACACAGAGGAAGAAAGTCGGGGTCAGGGCACAGACGCCAGCCCACCGCCCAAGGAGCAACAAGATGCCAGCAGACCGGTAACATATAGGGCCATGGCAACATATAGATTATAGGAATGGGTTAAGTTAGGTTGAAAGAGCTATCTAATATAAGCTGACCCATAGGCCATTTACAGTTTGTAAATAATATAAGCCTCCGTGTGTTTACTTGAGACCCAGTGGCTGTGGACATGTGTCGGAGAGATTCGTCCCAACTGTGGGGCTCGGCAGGTCTGGAGAAACTTTGGCTACACTCGTGTTGTGGTGATGCCCAATCATAAAATTATTTTCATTACAACTTCATGACTGTAATTTTGCTACTGTTATGAATCCTAATGTAAATATCTGTCTTTTCTGAGGGTCATAGGCGACTCCCATGAAGCAGTTGTTTGACTTCCAGAGTGGTAGCCACACACAGGTTGAGAACCATTGCTATAATTGGTACTTGGACTGAGAGAAGCTGGTGGCTAGAGTCTGCTTTGATAAGTTAATAGGCACCTCAGTTAGCCAGTAGTCCTGGGATTTCCTCAGGGCCTAACCGGTAGCACGTCCTATTTAGCTGTGAGATTTTTAATTCTTCAGATTGAAATAAAATGATAAGAATACTGCCTTACGATAGCTTCGGGCAGATGGAAGAGCTTGGTAATTCCTTCTCTTTAAAGGCTGGGGCTTGACCTCAGAGTCCTCCGAACTCCACAGGAGACTGTGCAACAATTCCACTTCTCAGTTACCAGCTGCCATGTAGCAAACCAGCCAAGTTCAGCGTCTGGAGACACCAGCCATTCATTACTTCCCACAGTGTGTGACCCCAAGAGTCCCTGAGTGATCCTGGCTCAGGACCTCTCTCCCAGGTCACAGTTCAGTTTTCATCTAGCTGTGTTTTCTCAAGGATTCAGGAGAGCTGGGGTCTCGTGAGATGTGGCTTCCTCATAGGGCAGCTGGAAATGGCTCGGGTTCCTGCTGGCTGTCCCCAGGACTCCTCTATCCCTGCTTACCTAGGTCTCTCTAGAGACTGCTCTTGACATAGCAGCTGACTTCCCCAGAGCCAGTCATCAGAGGCGGGCCAGGGTGTGCAATATGCACAATTTCCAGTCCCAGATCACAGCCCATCCCCAAACCTCTCTCCACCAGGGGGCAGGAGTGAGTAAGTCCTGAACACCCCAGAAGAGGAATTAATTTCACCTCTTTAAAGGCAGAGATGAACCTGTGAACACACACACTAAAATCCAATGTCACCTCAGCATCCTGTGAGTCAGAAGGATTTTAGCTATCTTCTTTTTAAAGACTTTAATTAAAAAAAAAACTTAACTGAAAAATTGGGACAACCAAGGAGGGTGTAAGGGTCAGTGTTTCTTGACATCTTTATAAGAAATTTCTTTTTTATTTAACTGATTTATCATTTACTCTTTTGGCAAACGTCAGATAAAGTGAGCAAAACCACCTTGCTCTGGATAGTCACACTTTCTTGTTTTACTTTATAAAAGCTGTAAACATACGTGAGTTAACAAAATTCTTGGCTGAAGACACATTCCAGAAATCTGACATGTTTCCAAGCCAGAATTAAAGAAAGCTAGGGAATCCCCAGTAGACCCGCAGCACATTTATATATATTTTTTATTCATCTATATATTTTACATCCAGGTACCCCATCCTCCCTTACCCTCCTCCCATCCTCCCCCAGATCCCAATCCCCCAATCCCCTCCTCTTCCATCTCCATCCAGGAGAGGGCAGGTCTCCCATGAGTATCAACAAAACATGGCATGTAAAGTCGCAGGAAAACTAAGAACCTCCCCATGTATTAAGGCTGAGCAAGGTGCCCAATATGAGGAGCAGGGTCCCAAAAGCCAGTGAGTCTGAGACAGCCCCTCCAGCAGCACATTTAATTCCTATAGATTTTTTAAAAAGTATTGTCTGTCATTAAAAAAAGAGTCTTTTTTTGGCCTTAATACAAATCCACCTTTGTTTACAAAATATAGTATGTAACTGAAGGTAATTTAATTTTTGAAAGCAAAGTTCGTTTAATGACAATGTACATTTATCATGAAATTGTAGTAAAATACTGGTGTAGTAAAATGCTAGTTGTGTACAAATCATGTTATAGCATGTAGAATTCATTTAGAAAATTCATGGTTCTCAGCAGCACGGTATCCTGTCACAGCCTGAGAACATGATTGCAGGTTTACTGAGAACAGAGCAGAGTTCGCAATGAGGCTGGTGACGCTCTTGTCACTATGCGCCTTAAGAACTGATGCTCAGAACCAACTCCTTGGAACTCCTCATAACCAGACTCTTTGGTTTTACAGAATGTGTACTGATCACTTACTTCACGGATAACTTAACTGGCAGAGACCTCACTGCAAACACTAGTGTTCCTAGAGGCCAATTATAATGAGAGGAGCCAGCATCTTTGATCACTATTTTCATGGGTGGAAGATAAATCTGAATTTTGCAGTAAAAATTTGTACAACAGCCAAGTCCTGAAGGATTTTTCCCAATAAAAGTTCTAATGTTAAAACTCTGTTAAAAAAAGAGAGGATTGGGGTCAGTGTGTGGAACTAGTGTTACTTACAGGATTTGAACCCATGTATCACTCGTTCATGTCTGCTGCTGAGCCTTCTCCATCTATCAAGACCTTCCCCTGGAGAGCCCCACTGTGGAGACTGTGTCAGAGCTGGAATGCCTTTAGCAAGTGTTGATGTGACAGGAAGAATTCAACCCAAAGCCACCAGGTAGCTGCTCTCTGCCAGCTGTTTGCCCTCAGGACCAGAAACTTGAGATCATAATGTTGTAACCTGCCATGCATGTTTTCTGGGTGAGAGTGGGTGACATAAAATGGAGTAGAGCAGAACACAGTCCCCAAGGACTGGATCCAAACTGAGACCCTGTGGACCAGTCTGTGGGAGCCCGTTCTCGGGTTCCTCATGGCTTTACCCAGCAGGTCCGCATAGAGGATGATTAGACCACGGGCCTGAGTGCAGGTGTCTGAGATGGTCTGCACTTGGCTGTGCTGGGGGAGGAGGTCTTTTGCTCCACCCCTTGGCATCTCTATAAAAACCCTGGGGGCAGAGACAGTCGGGGCCCGTTGGAAAAGGTTCCAGGCCCTCTCGAGGCTATCCTTTATTTTCTATCTGTTTATCTCCGCAAGATTCTCCACAATAAATCCTTCTATCTAATATTTCCTGCTGCTCGCACTCAAGAAAACTCTCGGGAACTGTGGGGGTGGCGCCATGAACAGGGACTAAAGAAAAAAAAAAAAGGGACTAAAGAAAAAAAAAGGGGAGACTAAAAAAGGGGGAACTAAAGACAAATGAACAGGGACTAAAGACAAATGAACAGGGACTAAAGATAAAGGAAAATAATAGTTTTATTACAGAGTTTTTGGCGAAAGTGCTGAGTCAGCCCTGCCAGTGGATAAGGCATGCCGGTGTTACGGAAAATATATATTTTTTATATATATTGAGAGGCAGGGGTTTTATCCTCGAGAGAAAAGGAAAGCGGACTGGAAGGATGTTCAATGCTACAGCGAAATTCTCTTCTGTCAGAATTTTCTATCTTCTATCCCTTTCTCAATTTCTATCTGTGAAAAATAAGTATAAGGCATAGGGTAGTAAAATAGTGTAGGAAAAACTTAGAAGTGTAAGATTGTGTAGGAAAAAATAAGTAAGGCAACTAGACAGAAAAACTCTTCAATTTTCTAACTTTGGGGGCTCTGAATGCAAACTGGGAAAAAATCTTTCTTTGGGCTTTACAGGTAGTAAAAAAGCTCTTCTTTGAGCTTATGGGGAAGAAAAAGTTTCCTATGGAAGCTTTTTGACCTGGGGACAGCTGAAATGCTAAGTCCAAGCGGCAGGAGAAAGTGATTTCTCCCTGAGGCAAAAATGGGGGTGTAAAAGCCAAAGTTTAAAGTTGGGAAGTTTTGGGAAAAGTTGGTCTTTCTCTTTTGGGAAGAAAAAAAAAATCTTTCTCTTAAACTAAAAAGCTTTTCTTGGAAAATTTGGGGGGAAAATCTCTTTAAAAAAGCCTTAATCTTTCTCTCTTAAAAAACTTAAAAACTAAAGCCTCTAACCTTCTCTCTCAGAAGGATGAGATTAGAATCACCTGGAGATTAGAGTGAGAATTACCTGTGAGTCGCTTTAAGGAAAAATAAAGACCTCCTGATAAAAATGGGGCAGGAAAATAGTAAGCAGACCTTTGAAGAGTCACTTGTAGAAAGACTGAAAAACAAAGGCGTTAAGGTGGAACTACAACAAGTACAGAGGTTCTTAAAGTTTGTAGAGGAATTGTGTCCCTGGTTTCCTGAATATGGGAAGCTAATGAGGATTCCTGGGAGAGAGTTGGAGTTGAAATACAAAAATGCTATGAAAAACACGGGCCAGAAAATATTCCTGTGGAAGCCCTTGGCCTGTGGGCATTAATCCGGGATAATTTAGATCCTAACCCTGAAAAGCAGGAGGGATCATTCCCTAAGGCAGATGAGGTGGAGACACAACCCTCTGCTCCGCCAGCAGAACCTGAAAACCCTTGTACAGCACCGCTTAAACAGGGTCCAGTTTCTCTTGGCCATGACGCTAAGTTTAAGGGACAAAAATCTTGGAATAAGACAAGGGAGGAACTGAAAAACTTGAAAAGCCTAGTAACCTCTCTTACTCAAAAAACAGAAACTCTCCAAGTCTCTCCTCTTCCCTCTGTAGGGGTGGAATTACTCACCTGGGGAGGCGTCTTTTAGAATGGAAAAGCCACCTGTAATTGCCATAGCACAGAGATCCTCTGAGGCAATGCGAACCCTCTCTGTCAAAGCTACATCTCCTCTTCAAGCTAGCCTCTGGGAAGCTGCTAGTAAGGGGGAAGAAATTCAAGGCTTTCAAATGTTCCCTGTCCTGGAAGAGCAGGACCGCCAGGGTAATATTGTAAGAGTGCATGTTCCCATTCCTTTCAAACAGCTTAAGGAGTTAAAAACAGCATGTAGTCAATATGGCCCGACTGCTCCTTTCACAACAGCATTGTTAGAAAGCCTGGCTTTAGAAGTTTTCCCCCCGAGTGATTGGAAACAAATGGCTCGAGCATGTCTATCTGGAGGTGACTATCTGCTGTGGAAAAGTGAGTTCGTGGAACAGTGTCAGGCCACAGCTGAAATAAGTCGGGCACAACAGATTCCTATCACCTTTGATATGCTCGCTGGGGAAGGCCCTTATCGAGAGACAGGTCAACAGTTAAACTTTGATATAGCAGTGTATGCTCAGGTTCAGGCCGCTGCCAAAAGGGCTTGGAATACGCTTCCATCATCAGGAAGACAAACTGAGGATCTGTCCAAGATAAGGCAAGGGCCTGATGAGTTATTTCAAGATTTTGTTTCCAGATTAATGCAAACGGCTAGCAGATTGATTAGTGATTCAGAAGCTGGACTTTTACTTGTAAAACAACTTGCATATGAAAACGCCAATGCAGCATGTCAGGCCACGATACGCCCTTTTAGAAAAAAGGGAAACATTTCTGACTATATCCGACTTTGTTCTGATATAGGACCATCATACAATCAAGGGATAGTCATGGCCGCAGCATTACAAGGAAAAACGGTTAGGGATGTTCTATACCAGCAAAGACACCCTAATTCCAGACAAGGGAAAGATACTGGACCTTCTGGAAGTTGTTTTGGGTGTGGACAGATGGGACATTATATTAGAAGTTGCCCTAGCAAGAGAAGGGGCTTCGGATCAAATAGAGAGCCTGGGTTATGCCCAAGATGTAGGAGAGGGAAACACCAGGCTAGTGAATGCACATCAAGGGCAAACACCCAGAAGAGTCCGTTTCAGGGAAATGGACGGAGGGGCCCGCCCCAGGCCCCGACAAAATAGACTTTGGGGTAATTCAGCAGTCAATCCTCCGGCAAAGAAATATATTCAAGACCTCTATAGGGCAACACCAGGTAGTGCTGGATTAGACCTCAGTTCTTCCATCTATACAGTTTTGACCCCTGAAATGGGAATGCAAGCCCTCCCTACAGGTGTTTATGGACCTTTGCCACAGGGCTCTGTGGGGTTATTGTTGGGCAGAAGTAGTACTACCATGCAGGGAATTCTAGTTGCCCTTGGAGTGATTGATGCTGACTATATGGGAGAAATAAAGGTGATGACTCATTCACCCACAAGAATTTCAGTAATAAAGATCGGTCAGAGACTTGCACAGTTAATCTTACTTCCTCAAATACAAACAAAAAATCCAATTAAAAGAGATGAGAGAGGAGAGGCTGGATTCGGTTCGTCAGATGCCTATTGGTTACAAGCCATAGGACCACAACGCCCAGAACTTACATTAGTCATAAATGGGAAAAATTTCTCGGGTCTTTTAGATACAGGCGCAGATTTATCTGTTATATCTGCTAGTCAATGGCCTGCTATGTGGCCCAAAATGGAGACTATTACACAGCTGCAAGGGATTGGTCAAACTCAGTGTCCCGAGCAGAGCAGCAATGAGCTCTCCTGGAGAGATGAGGAGGGTCATGAAGGGACTTTTCGGCCATACATTGTCCCTCACTTGCTGGTAAATTTGTGGGGTCGAGATGTTATGAGCCGTATGGGAGTATACTTATATAGTCCCAATACAACTATCTATGAACAAGAAGTTCCTGATCAAAAGTTAATGGAAATGTCTGCCGGGCGGTGGTGGTGCACGCCTTTAATCCCAGCACTGGGGAGGCAGAGCCAGGCGAATCTCTGTGAGTTCGAGGCCAGCCTGGTCTTCAAAGCGAGTTCCAGGAAAGGCGCAAAGCTACACAGAGAAACCCTGTCTCGAAAAATCAAAAAAAAAAAAAAAAAAAAAAAAAAAAAAGTTAATGGAAATGTCATCTTTAACTCCTAAAGATAAGGACGTTATGGAGCATTTTTAGGAAGGGTCATTGAGCAGCCTGTACTCCATGCAGATCCTATAACCTGGAAATCCGATCAGCCTGTGTGGATAGATCAATGGCCCCTAACAGAAGAAAAAATACAGGCTGTCCAGCAGTTAGTACAGGAGGAGCTGGATAGTGGTCATATTGAACCGTCTAATTCTCCCTGGAATTCTCCTATTTTCCTCATCAAAAAGAAGTCAGGGAAATGGAGATTATTACAGAATTTGAGAAAGATTAATGAAACCATACAACCTATGGGAGCTTTGCAGCCTGGATTGCCTATCCCTACTGCTACACCAGAAAATACGGATAAAATTATTTTGGATTTGAAGGATTGTTTATATACCATCCCTTCAGCTCCCCAAGACTGTCAAAGATTTGCATTTAGTGTTCCCTCAGTCAACTTTAAAGAACCCATGAAAAGATTCCACTGGAAAGTTTTGCCCCAAGGAATGGTCAATAGCCCAACACTGTGTCAGAAATTCGTAGCTCAAGCTATCCAAAGAGTTAGAGAGCAAGTTCAACAGGCTTATATTATTCATTACATGGATGATATTTTGCTTGCGCATAAAGATGAAGAAATTTTGCTTGGCACTTTCGGATGGCTTCAGCACTGTCTTACCCGTGCAAGGTTAATTATCGCTCCAGAGAAAGTGCAAAGACACTCGCCTTTTCATTATTTAGGACATGTCTTATACCCTAAGGGGATAAAGCCTCAAAAATTGGAAATAAGAAAGGATGAGTTAAAAACTTTAAATGATTTTAAAAAATTATTGGGGGAGATTCAATGGTTGCGCCCTTATTTAAAAGTATTTACTGGTGATTTGAAACCTTTAAGTGATATTTTAAAAGCAGATAATAACCCTAATTCACCCAGAGAGTTAACTGAAAAAGGCAGACAAGTTCTTCTGCAAGTTGAAAAGGCTATTCAAAACCAGCAAGTACATTACATTAATTACACCCTACCTTGGTATGCACATATTTTGCCCACTAGACATACTCCTACAGCAGTATTATGGCAAAACAAGCCTCTCTTATGGCTACATCTTCCTGTTTCACCAGCCAGAGCGTTAAGTCCATACTATGAGTCTGTAACTTGCTTGGTACAAAAAAGCATAATTGAGCCTAGACGTTATTTTGGTAAAGAACCTATGGTAATTAATGTTCCTTTTACAAAGCGGCAAGTTGATTGGCTTTTTCAGAACAGTGATTCTTGGGCAATTGCTTTTTTCCCAGTTTCCAGGCCAAATTGATAATCAATTCCCAGCTGATCCATTATTGCAATTCGTTCAAATGCATTCCTTTGTACTTCCTAAAATCGTTATGAAAGACCCCATAGAAGATGCTGTGCTAGTTTTCACTGATGGATCTTCTAATGGAAAGGCTGCTTATGTTATTAATGGAAAAAGTTATGTAGTACAAACAACCCCAGCCTCTGCACAGATAGTGGAATTACGGGCAGTGAACATGGTTTTTCAGGTTCTTGAAGACAGATCATTGAACTTATACACAGTCAATATATTTATAGAGCTCTTCAAGTCACAGAAACTGTTCCCTATATTGGCGCTAATAACAACCAAGTCCAAATGTTGTTTCAACAAATTCAAGACGCTATTCACAAAAGAAAGTTGCCATGCTTTGTGGGCCATATTAGAGCTCACTCCAATCTTCCTGGTCCTTTAGCTGAGGGTAATGCGATGGCCGGTAAGTTAACAAAGATAGTAGCATTATCCCAAGTGGAAATGGCTCAGCAGTCACATGCTCTTCATCATCAAAATAGCAAAAGTTTAAGAAAGCAATTCAATCTTACCAAAGAAGCAGCTCGTCAAATAGTTAAACGATGTGGGGTATGTCCAAAATATTTTCCTGTCCCTCACTTAGGGGTAAACCCTCAAGGTCTTCTTCCCAATCATCTATGGCAAATGGATGTTATGCATATTGCAGAATTTGGCAAAGTAAGATATGTACATGTGACCATTGACACTTATTCAGGATTTTTAATGGCTAGTGCACAATCTGGGGAAGCTGCAAAATATGTAATTATGCACTGCTTGAAGTGTTTTTCATATATGGGTATACCAAAAATTGTTAAAACTGATAATGGTTCTGGATATAGTAGTAAGGCATTTCAACAATTTTGTACCCAATGGGAAATCGTACATAAAAAAGGTATTCTTTATAATCCTCAGGGACAAGGTATTATGGAAAGGGCTCATAGCAGTCTTAAGATACAACTTCAAAAAATAAATATAGGAAGAAATTTACCCTCAATCGCCACATAATGCATTAAATCATGCTCTTTTTGTTCTGAACTTTTTGAACATGGATGTCTATGAACAGTCTGCTGCAGACAGATTTTGGCACAGTGGCACCCAAGCGACTTTTGCTCAAGTGAAATGGAAAGATCCCTGCTCAGGATTATGGAAGGGTCCCGATCCTGTGTTAGTATGGGGTCGAGGACATGTTTGTGTTTTTTCACAAGAGGAGAATGAAGCTCGGTGGTTACTGGAGCGTCTGGTAAGGAGCGTGGAACTAAGGAAGGGTCAGCTCCAATGATGTTCCTATAAAGGAACCAGAGTGAAAGTGGCTCAATTAGTATTTCTGAGGTTTTGTCAATGGTTAATGCAAACAGTGAGGAAACAGAGTTCAGAGCTGTGCCACTTTTGGCTTTACTAGCTCCTTTAGAAAAATACTTTATATCACCTAATAGCTGTGCGGTATTTGGCAAAGAGCTTTACAGCAGCTAAATACGGTAATTTCACCCTCAGTGTGAAGTGAAGTTTTTCCGTAGAAGAAACCAAAAGTACTGCTGTAATAGAAACGTTTGTCTGAATTGAACACTTAGGGGAACTATTATGAATTTGGGTGAAGGGACAGCCTCTAGTTAAAAACCGTTTACCGCTGACAGTGCATCTCTGCCGGTTCCGGAACGGCTGAGAGAACTGGCAACTTTGGAGTGTGGCGTCATCCCGGGAAGGTTATAGTCTCCTAGCAACAACTATCACAATTCTATAACAACAACACTCACTAAATCCCAGTGTTTTATAGCAAAGCTGACTATAAACTCTAAACTTTAGAAATGATGTATGTACTTCCTGTCTAGTTACGAGAATCTTTCTAATAGAGATAGTGATAATAATTAAAGAGTAAGAAATAGAAAAAGATGAAAATAAGATATGTGAGTTTGTAAAAATTCTCTTGTTAGATCTGTGTTAAGAAATCTTTAGGTGTTTGCTAAGTTAAATATATGCTAATGGTAGCCCTGTATAAGTTTGTAAAATAGATCTATAGAGTTCCTTTAAGAATATAAGCTTCCAGCACTCGGGAGGCAGAGCCAGGCGGATCTCTGTGAGTTCGAGGCCAGCCTGGGCTACCAAGTGAGTTCCAGGAAAAGGTGCAAAGCTACACAGAGAAACCCTGTCTCGAAAAACCAAAAAAAAAAAAAAAGAATATAAGCTTGCAAGAAAGATACTAGTTGTAAATGTAAGTTTAAATAAGATAAGAAGTATATAAGAAGTAATAAGAAATACATTTGCTAAGGTACTTCTATAGTTCCCTTAAAGAGTATAAATAAGTAGATGTTAATGTTATATGTGAATCTGTAAAAAAGTGTAAATGTTAAATATGAATTTATTCCTAATATATGGTGAAAGAACCCGAGACACAGAAGGTTAGTGTCCCAGTAAACTGCAAAGTAGGCAGTCTGAATGGTTTCAAAAGCTCCAGAAGCCGCTAAGAAGCTAAGAATGGCGGACGCCAGAACCAGCACAAGGCATCCACAGCTGAGATCCGTGGAAAATCGACGCAACACAGAAAAACCTGAGCTAACATCAAAAACGGTGCGGTTTAGAATACTACTGTACCTAAAAAGGTCTCTGGCTTGAGAATAAGTTCAGAGACGTTTGTTTGAACAAAAATTGTTAACTGCAAAAAGTTTTGGTTGAAAAACGTCTCTTCATATTTTGAAGTGAAAGCCTAATACCAGAATTTATTTGTTTGAACTTTTTGAACTTAAAATGACATAAAACTACAAAAAGATTTTGGTTATGGATTTCTTCATATTTGGAAGGCTTGTACCAGAATTTATCATTTGAATTTTGGGACTTAAGAAATGAAATGAACAGTAGAGATTTCATTGCAATGGGACAATTTTGAGTTTACTTATAGTAATGACCTAGGAACTGTTTTCTGGAATTGGGTTAAAAATGGAACTGTTTAAATGAAGAAATTTATTATTTCTACCTAGAATCAAGATGCAGTTTTGTATATGCATATATGCTTTATTAATTGGTGATTCATGAATTGTTTTGTGGAACTGTTTATGTAAAAATGAAATTACTTACAAAACTGGTTTTTGTGTTACAAATGGAACTGTTTAAATGGAAAAGTTTGGGTTTTCTAACTAGGCTTGAGATTTTGCTTAAATTATAAAGAAAAGGGGGAGAGTTAATATTCCTTAGTCTAATTTCAAAAGTTGTTTGAGTGGATTAATGTCATGTTTTTGTTAGTAAGAAATGCAAGAGACTACTTTTATCTTATTTATTTATTTATTTATTTATTTATTTATTTATTTATTTATTTTTGGTTTTTGAGACAGGGTTTCTCTGTGTAGCTTTGCGCCTTTTCCTGGATCTCGCTCTGTAGACCAGGCTGGCCTCGAACTCACAAAGATCCACCTGCCTCTGCCTCCCGAGTGCTGGGATTAAAGGCATGCGCCACCACCGCCCGGCAAGAGACTACTTTTTTTTTTTTTTTTTTTTGGTTTTTTTCGAGACAGGGTTCCTCTGTGTAGCTTTGTGCCTTTCCTGGAACTCGCTTTGGAGACCAGGCTGGCCTCGAACTCACAGAGATCCGCCTGGCTCTGCCTCCCGAGTGCTGGGATTAAAGGCGTGCGCCACCACCGCCCGGCTGAGACTACTTTTAAAGTGTAAAGAGTTTTATTAAAAAACTGCTTTTGGGATGTTTTGCTAAGTTTTCAAAGTGTTAATGGTTAGATTGAGAAGATTGCTTTTCAATATGGGTTTGTAGGAATTGTATGAGTTTGGGTTCTTCTAACTAGGTTTGAGATTTTGTTTAAAAAATTATAAAGAAAAGGAGGAGTTATGAGGTTGAATTATGTTTGCAGAAATTATATTTACCCTATTGATATTAATGCACCCTGGTTTTGTGGAGTTAAGGAATATTTAAGTTTGATGTGAATACATCGAAGTTTTTCCTTTGTTCTGTTAGCAAGAAAATTCAAATGATTAAGAGTTAAAGTTGCCGGGCGGTGGTGGCGCACGCCTTTAATCCCAGCACTCGGGAGGCAGAGGCAGGCGAATCTCTGAGTTCGAGGCCAGCCTGGTCTACAGAGCAAGATCCAGGAAAGGCGCAAAGCTACCCAGAGAAACCCTGTCTCGAAAAAACCAAAAAAAAAAAAAAAAAAAGAGTTAAAGTTGTAAGACGGAGAAAATTGTTAACTATATATAGCACCATATATGCTAATTCAAATGGTTCTGTTGGGAGTTTGCTTTGTGTTGTAAGACTGAGAATTGTGACTATGTATAGCAATATTTATGTTAACCTGTTAATGGTAATGATGAAGCTAAGGGATTCTTTAAGTTTGTAGTCGCCTTAAGAGTTTTTGGTTTAGAAAGGGCTTGAAGCAGCTAAGACTGCTGTAGTCACCTTGGACCTAATTCAAAAGAGAAATGCCATCTTTATCATCCTCTACTCCCATATTGGGAGGTGTAACAGCTATGGAGATTGCTGTAAGCCATTAATAGTTATTTTTTATACATTAAGAAAGGGGGACCTGTGGGAGCCCGTTCTCGGGTTCCTCATGGCTTTACCCAGCAGGTCCGCATAGAGGATAATTAGGACCACGGGCCTGAGTGCAGGTGTCTGGGATGGTCTGCACTTGGCTGTGCTGGGGGAGGAGGTCTTTTGCTCCACCCCTTGGCATCTCTATAAAAACCCTGGGGCAGAGACAGTCGGGCCCATGGGAAAAGGTTCCAGGCCCTCTCGAGGCTATCCTTTATTTTCTATCTGTTTATCTCCGCAAGATTCTCCACAATAAATCCTTCTATCTAATATTTCCTGCTGCTCGCACTCAAGAAAACTCTGGGGAACTGTGGGGGTGGTGGGTAAACACCCCAAACCAGTCCTCTCTGCTGATCCTACAGACAGGAGTGAGATTCTCAAAGATGGAAAATGGGAGAAACTCCAGGCAACATCCCTGGAAGGAGGCAGGAGCTCAGGAGACTGAAGTTCATCTCAGGCCACAGTCTCCTGTGTGCAGGGGACTTGAGGGGACCAGGATGGAAAATGCCTCCTCTTGTTGTCACTCAGGGACCCCAAAGGGGGATGAGACAGGCACCACTCACAGGAACAAGAACAGGCCTAGTCCTCCATTCAAACTAAAAAGACAAGAAATAAGCAGAGAAGACGGGGTGAAGAGCCATGTCCAGGTCAGAGCCCAGGCTGACCTGTCACACCAGCCCTGGCTGCTCACAATCTTGGGGACAGGACAAGGCTCTGTCATCCCAGTGTCCCTGTGATCACAGACTCTGTCAGGACGTGGTTATACTAAGTGACAAGGACAAGAGTCCAGGAGGACATAGCTGAGGACTGACCACAACAATTCACACATGGACTGAGCTCCCCATGGCACAGCCCCATCCTCCCTCAGCTCCCACACACTCCTCCTGTCCCCCTGACACTCAGGACAGCAAACACAGATTCTAGAAGGTTCTCCAAGCTGCCATTCATTGTCTCCATCACACTTTCAGGATCCTCTCCTTTAACTTGACCCGCCAATCTCTCAGGTCAAGGACGTGAACAATCAAGTTGACATTCAGATTCTTATTTTCAGTTGGGAAGTCAGGAGATGCAGCTCAGGGCATCGTGGAGGTGACAGGATGGAGATGTCCCCTCCTGTCTGCTGGACCAGGAAGGTTGACTGTGGAAGGGACTGTAGATGCAGAGCTTTGTTTCTTGTGCAAATGAAGCTCAGACCATCCCTTGCCTTCAGGCCTAGTAGCACTGCAGAGCTATTGCCTCAGGACAATAGGGCTTTTTGCATAACCATATGCAGTAAAGACTGGAGCGGGAATTTCTGGGTCAGGCAGAACAAGTGGCCAGAGAGAAGAGAGGAGGCAGAGTTTCTCAGAGCCAGGAGTAAGGAGCAAGGAAGGAGAGATGGAAGAGAAAGGAACAGAGGATAAAGATGAGGTTGAAAGCATAGGAGCTTAATTAGGACTATGAGAAGACAGGAAAAGGAGGTACAGAGAGGAGCTGAATGTGAGGATGGAGCTGAAGCTGTATAGATAGAATTTCGTCTTAGAGAAATAAAGTAAACAGATGAAAGAGCATGGTGTACATAGATTCTTTTCCCTCAGATAACCCCAGATTGGACATAGCATCTTCCCCAGGACCCTGGGAGGAATCTTCTCTGGGCAGGCCTCTGGGAAATTCCCAACTGTAGTAGGCAGTTCTAGGTGGTCCTCATCCTCTCTGGCTGTGAGGTGCTGGCTAGCAAAATGTGGGACAAGTTGAAGCCACAGTGGCAGGTGGAGTTGTGGGGTGGGGCTGGTGCACCTGCCTTGGTAGCTCCTGCATCCGGTCCATGAGATGGCAGTTTAGGCACTGGATGCAGGTGGTGATGCCAAAGCACACCAGGCAACTCAGAATGGAGCTCTGGTTGATCTGCAGACTGAGTGCCAGTGTGGGGTCATCTCCTGGCAGGGTGGAGGGTAGGTGTTGCCTCAGAGCAGCCCTGTTACACAGGACCAGGAGACCTTGGTGACAAGTCCCCAAGAGCCACAGAGAGCAAGATCCCAGTGACTCTGAGGCTCTCCATCAGGTGCTGCTGCTGCTGGCCTCACTGTGTTTGCTGCATTGAGAAGGCACAGAGCTCCAGAATGAGAATTCACAGCAAAGCTTGTCTCCTCCCACCTGGCAACAGGAGGCTGTCTCCTCTCCAGTTCAATCCCAGAATTCTGTGCCCCAGTCTGACTGCATCCAGGGCTTCTGGTTGGCCTGCCAGTCTTGCACCAAGGACCTCTCAGCTCCAGTGAGCTCACAAACTCAGAGCTAACTGTGTGCTTGTGGATCCCTGGTCCCACCTGGTCCAGGTCACTCAGTATTTCATTTCTCAATGACTTCTTGGTAAATGACTAAAGCAGGAATCTTGCTCCAGGACTCTAAGTCCCAGGCCTGAAGGTTTAAGTGTCAGGTGGTGGGACATGCCATGCAGGTCCCCTCCCAGTTCCCCGCCCAGCCTGTCCCCAGCGCTAGTAGCCAAGCATGCCCCTTGTGAGCCACCAGGACAAATGTTCAGATTGGGGTTCTAGTGGGAAGGAGCAGGATCTAAGAAATGTGAATTGTCACAGTGAAGGCAAGAACCTGCAGGTGGGCTCTGGGACCCAAGAATGGTCCTGGGGCTGCACTTCCCCTCCTTCCCCTCCTGGGGTCTGCCTAAGGCCTCTCAGTCTCCTGAGGTTTTCTCTGAATGTTTTGTCTTTGCCTGGGTGAGCTGTATTTGGTGCACCAAGAGGTCTCTGGGTTTGGTGGCTCCTTTGCAGGTCAGCAGGCCTTTGTGCAGGCTCCTTTTTAACTACTAAATGAATCATGACATTGTGTGTATTTGTGGGCTATCCTGTGATGGTTCACACCCACATACATGGTATAACATCTGAATGGGAATAAACACATCTCCTCAAAGGCATGTGGTTTCTTTGGTGAAAATGTTTAGGATCTTGCCAACAGGCTTTCTGAAAGCTCTAGCCTATTGTGGCTTTCTAGTTACCCCATCTGCAGCTGCCCCTCACCTCCTCACCTCTACCTAACTGTAGCTATTTCTCAGGGTCCCTCACTGCCATTGTCCCTACCCAATCTGTGGTTGGGTCTGAGGGTCTGGCACACTCAAGTCCCCATCAGGATCCTCAAGGAAGTCAAGGTATGAGCCCTCTGAAGATTTCCTGGGGTTGCAGTGACTTTTTTGCTTGTTTGTTTGTTTTGTTTTTGTTTTGAGACAGGATCTCTCTATGTAGCTCTGGCTGTTCTGGAACTCACTATGAGCAGACTGGCCTAGAAATTAGAGATTCACCTGCCTCTGCCTCCCATGTGCTGGGATTAAAGGTGTGCAATGGCTTTCTTACAGCTTTGCTCTCAGAGCAGCAAGAGGAGCCTCTTTCCCCACCCACCCAGGGCAGTGTCTCTGGACCCTGAGCCCAAGACTGTCACCCTTGGGCCCCAAGGTAGGACACCAGCACCATCTGAATAGAAACAGGCCTTGTCCTTCCCAGAAACTAGGGAGGAGAGCCACGGCCTGGAAGGAGCCCAGGTTGACTGCCACTGCTGCCCTGGCTGCTCATAATCCTGGACACAGGACCTGGCCTGGCCAAGTTAGATCGCAGGCCCTGTCAGCATGTGTTCTACAACAGATGTGGAGACCAGATCCAGGAGGTGACAGAGCTGAGGTGTGACCACATCAAAGCCCACCCCCTATGAGCCACATCTGGGCACAGCACTGTTTACACTCAGCTCCCACAGCTGCATCCTGTCCTGTTGTTTGAATTCTTAAATGGTCTTTTAACTAAAAAATTAAACCCTGAACCAGATATTGAGGTAAAAGCTGAAAAAATCAGAGAAGTAGAGCAAGCTACAGCCATGTCTCACCTCACCAGCTCCATGAATCCTCTGACTGAAATCCTCCCAGTCTTCACCTGAACGGGTCTCAGCTGAACTGCCTTTGGATTCTATCTCCTCACACCTTTATACTGTTCTCTGTCCAGCAATGCCACTTCCTGGGATTAAAGGCATGTGTGCTTCCCAGTACTGGGATAAAAGGTATGTGCCACCACTGCCTGGCTCTGTTTCTCTCCTAGGCTGGATCAGCTCATGTAGCCCAGTGTGACCTTGAACTCCCAGAGATCCAGATGGATCTCTGCCTCCAGAGTGATAGGATTAAAGATGTGTGCCACCAGTGCCTGATCTCTATGTCTAATTTAGTGGCTGGCTCTGTCCTCTGATTATCAGGCTAATTTATTAGAGTATACAATATATCACCACACTGTCCCGCCGAATACTCACAGCACAAGGAACATAGATTCCAGAAGGTTCTCCATGCTGCTAGTTATTTCCTTCACAAAAATTTAATAATTCACTCTTTCATTTACCCACCAATCAAACATGAGGTGAAGAACTTGAACAATGAAGTTCATGTACAGATACTTATTTTCAGTGGGGAAATGATGTCTGTAGCTCAGGGCAGCGTGGAGCTGGTTGGATGGAGATGTCCTATCCTGTTTGCTGAATTAGGGAGGTTGACTGTGGAAGGAAACACAGGGTGGTGTGGTGAGAGCATCCTGGTGTGCAGGGGCTGCACATTGAGCCCATAAGATCACAGGGAACTACAGACAATCTTGCCTAAAAATGACTGAGGGGCTCAGGCATCACAGCAGAGCCCTGAGCAGATCATATGTCACTCAGTATAGATCAGACAGATGTATTTATGCTACAGACCAAGAGTCATGAATTATCACTGTGAAGACAACATCCTAACCATCCACCACTCACTCACAGGTCCACATTCTCAGAGTTGCTGTGAACCATTCACATCCTCTTTGTCTCCCCCCACCCCCCAATCCATGATCTGCGTGTCTTTATCACAGTCTGTGAGAGTTCTAGGGTAAAAAATTAACAAGATTTCAGAGGATTTGTCTGCAGGAGGAATTATGGTCTGGCTGAGCTTCTCACCAGCTCCTGCTCCAATCAAAGGTCAGGGACAAACCTTACCCAAACATATCTGCAGCCTGAGCATAGTGCACAGTGATTCCACTTGTGAGAAATAAAGCTATGACCCTAGGGAAGCTCTGAACCCCAGGAAGTTTCCAGAACTGACAGCAGACCAGGGAAGAGTCAGGAGACATGAGGAAGGAGGTATGCAGGGAGTGAACCAACTTCCAACCTGAGAGTCCTCAGCAGGGACCTTCCCCTCTGACTTACGGTCTCTGACCACTGAGAATTATGTCCCCATCACTTCCACCATGACGGTTAGGAATCTATCCTTCATTTTCCCTATGCTTTACAGTAAGGTGACTGTTAGCACCCAGACCCAGAGATGGGCACAGTTGCACATGTGTGTATGTGAGTGAGTGTCTTCCCATTCAACCTGCACATTTCTTGAAGGTGTTGAATGAAAAAAAAAAAATCTCAGACCCTGCACATCCATACCTGTGTTCTTCCTCATCCACATCATAACACCTCCAATGATAAAATCTAAGATCACCACAGCTCCAAGGACAGAACCAACAATGGTCATGATGGGGATGGACTGAGGTGGCTCTGGGAAAGGAAGGGAAAGGAAGGGAAAGGAAGGGATGGTGAGGGTCATGGTTCCAGCTCTCAGGCCTGACTCTGCCCAGGGTCTGTAGAAGGCTCCAGCTATCTTTGTCCCATTTGCACCCAAAGCTCTACTTACCCCATCTCAGGGTGAGGGGTTCAGGCAGACCCTCATGCTGCACATGGCATGTGTATTTCATCTCCTCTCCAAAAGGTACCACCACAGCTGCCCACTTCTGGAAGCTTCCATCCCCTGCAGGTCTGGTCTCCACCAGTTCCATTTCCTGTGTCTGCTCCTCCTCACCTCTCTTCCAGGTCAGGGTGATGTCAGCAGGGTAGAATCCCAGGGCCCAGCACCGGAGTGTGACATCACCTTGAGATCTGGGGTGATGGGTCACATGTGTCTCTGGTGGATCTGAAGGGAAGAGTTGGAAAGTTCAGGCGTTTGGCATTCTTGCTGGGGACTCTAGCAGGGTCCATGAGACCAACATGGGAAGGATCAGAAATGGGGTGATGGAGGGGTGAATATCCCCTGTGGCTTAGATACAGGTTTCTGGATAATCTCATCTTTGGCAAATTGTAGATATGGGTAAAAGAGCCCAAGGTCAGTGAACTCTAGGTGTCACATCAGGAAAAGGGACTTCTCTCCTGACTGGGGGAGGCTGAGAGATCCAGCATCACTGATGTCATACTCCAGAGACCTTGAGTGTGGACAGAGAGAACTGGACCTGAGCAAGGCTGTGTCCCACACAGGACTGCAGACAGAACATTAACTGCCTTGGTCATTTCAGGGACCTTCTCATCTTCCCTGCTGAGACACACTCTGAACTGTCCTGACAGAAGGGTGAGCCTGGGAGAATCAGTCCCTGAAAAAGGGTCAAGACACACTATAGAACTTTTCACCTCCCACATGGGAAAGATTGGGAGAGAAGTGGATATTATGTCATAAGCAGAGACCCCCAGAGTTTCCTCTAAAGCCAGGAAGGAGACAAGGGTGCACACCCTCCACCATCCTATTTGATACAGTGATGATTTTATATAAGCTATCGGAATTAGACAGAAGATAGGCTTAAAGGAGATCCTAATAGGAAAGGAAGAAGTCACTCTGTCTCTATTTCCAGATAACATGTTTCTTTACTTAAAAGACCCTGTTGAGTCCACAGGAACATTCTTGGACCTAATAAACATTTATGGTTGCCAGATATATAAATTAATGTAAAAAAGGCTTCATTTATGCCAGCAGTGTATTTTTAGAAAAAGTGATTCCAAAATGTAGAACATTCAGTGTCATTCCACCAGAATCAAGGGTTTAGAGATATCTCTAACCAGAGAAATGGAAGAACTCTACAATGAAAACTTCAAGACACTGACACAGGAAATCACAGAAGAGAATGTTAGAGGATGGAAAGACAATCCATGCTCCTGGACTGGCAGAGTTAATGTGACAATGGCCACACTACCATCATCATCATATAGATTTAAAGCAATGTTCCCAAAACCGATGTATTTCATAGCTTTAGGAAAAAGACAAGAATCTATACAGAATGACAGACAATGTTAAGGTGTTACACTCCCAACCTCAAATTATACCAGAGCTATCGTGACAAAAACAGCCTGGAATTGACATAAAATAGACGGGAGAATAAGGCATAGGACAGAGATCCTGGAAACAAGATGACAAAGGTATGAGTGCTTAATTTTAGACAAAGAATGCAAAACACACATTGGAAAAAAGATCCCATTCTACCCATGAAGCCGCAACACTGTTTTTCTGCCTGAGAAGATGAATTTAGATTCTCACCTTTCACCGTGTACAAAAGTAAACTTGAAACAGAGAGAAGACCTTATTAAGTTCCAAACTTGAAACACCCAAACTTCAAGAGGACAACCTAGGGGAAACCCTTCCAGATCCTGGGGTAGACAATCACTTCAGACTAGGACAATATCAGAGGAACTAATCAGGCCATATATCAGTATGAAAATAAAGCCTCTTCACAGCACAGGACACAGTCAGCAGAGTGACCAGAAGCCACAACAGGAGGAAACCTGTACCAGCTGCAGACAAGGGACTAGAGTCCTCAGTTTACAGAGAACTGCAGAAACTACATACCAAGGAACTAGCAATGTCAATCAACTCATGGGGAGAGTACTGAACAGACAGTTATCTTAATAAAAGAGAAAAACACTAATAGCCAGTATTCTTAGTGTGTTCAGTACCTCTAGCCTTCACGAAAATGCAGATTAAAACTACTTTGAGGGGCTGGAGAGTTGGGTCAGAGGTTAAGAGGACTTGATGCTCTTGCAGGTTAGATGCGCTGTATGTAGCTCCAGACCCAGGGGATCTGGCACCCTCTTCTGACCCCAGACACCAGGCACACATGTGGTGTACATCCACACATGCAGGCAAGACTCTCATCCACATAAAAGAATGAAATAAAATGAAAATTAAAACTGCTGAGATAGCCCTTCACCCCAGTGACCAACAAATTTGACAGAAAAAAAAATGTTGGAGGGGATGTGGAGAGGGGAAACATTCACTGTTGAAGGAATGCAAATTAATACAGTCATTGTGGAAATCATTTTGGACATTTCTTTAAAAAATTAAAAATAGAACTACTGTATGACCCAGCTTTTTTATTCCTGGGCAGAAGTCCATGTCCTACGGTGAGATATTATACCCCATGGTTATTGTTGATTTATTCACTAGAGTAAAGTATTGGATTTACTCCATCAACAGATGAGCAGAGAATGGAAATTTGGTACACATATAAAATGGAATACTATTGGGCTCTACACAATGTCATCACAACATGTATACTATTAAGAGAGGTCACACAATTTCAGAAAGAAAAACTACATTGCTTTTCCTCATATGGGGGATATAGCCAACGATATATGAATATATGTAAACAAGTGCACATATGTGTATACTCTAACAGGACCAAAAAAGAACAAGGCTAAATACTGGGGATGAGACAGGAGTGAGTGCAGGAAATGGACTTGAGTTATGAAGCAGGTTATAAATCTAATTGTTTTCTAGTTCTAAATCTGTCGTGGATTTTCTTTCTTTCATTTCCTTCTTCTTGCGTGTTGGTGCCCGATAAGTACATGAATTATATTGATATCGAATGTGTAAAATCCAAAGTGAGTCTCCACAAGTTCATGGCTCCTCTAACTGTAGAGAAATTCACTGAGGTGTATAGCTTTTGTTCTGTTTAATTTCAGCGTGTCTTTTTTTTTGTTTTGTTTTGTTTTGTTTTGTTTTTTTGTTTTTCGAGACAGGGTTTCTCAGTGTAGCTTTGAGCCTTTCCTGGAACTCACTCTGTAGTCCAGGCTCGCCTTGAACTCACAGAGATCCGCCTGCTTCTGCCTCCCAAGTGCTGGGATTAAAGGCGTGCGCCACCACCGCCCGGTTAGCATGTGTCTTTTTTGCAATAAAGTTTAAAAAAAATTTAAAACCAAGAAGAGACAGGGGCATGACCCCAGCTGAGGGGTTTCTTCTTCCTCAGGACTGAGCCCAGCCCGAGGCAGAGGGAGGAGCTGCCCGCAGCCCTGCACCTGTGCGCTGCAGGTCGTCCTTCCCGATCTCCAGGAGTCTGCGCAGGGAATCCACGCACTCGCCCTCCAGGTAGGCCCTCCGTCTCTCTGCAACACCAGCCTGCTCCCACTTGCGCCGGGTGATCTGCGCCGCCGTGTCCGCCGCTGTCCACGTCGTCAGGTCGTCGTTCAGGGCGATGTAATCGCGGCCGTCGTAGGCGTCCTGACTGTACCCGCGGAGGAGGCGCTCGTCCGACCCCACGTCACAGCCGTACATCGCCTGGATGGTGTGAGAGCCTGCGGGACCCCGCGGTCAGCCCCGCCCACCCGCGGTCAGCCCCGCCCACCCGCCCACCGGGGGGTCAGCCCCGCCCACCCACGGTCAGCCCCGCCCACCCTCGACGCCCCATGGTCAACCCGGGCCCGGCCCGCCCGCGGACTCGCCTTAACTGTAAGTGAAAGTAGGTTCCGGTTGGAGGCTCTCTGGTCCAGAGTATCTGAGGCTCCCACATTTCGGAAGAACCTCAGACTTGGGACACGGAGCGATTGCAGTAGGTATAAAGGGACGTGCAGGGGTCGTGACCTCCGACCCGCGGTCACTCACCGCCCTCGCTCTGGTTGTAGTATCGGAGCGCGGTCCTCAAGTTCACTCTGGCAATCTGCTCATGGTCCTTGGCTCTCTGTGTGATTTCCTCCCAATACTCCGGCCCCACCTGCTCCACCCACGGCGCCCGCGGCTCCACTCTCGGAGTCTCCGCGTCGCTGTCGAAGCATGCTAACTGCGTGTCGTCCACGTAGCCCACACCGATGAACCGGGGCTCCCCGAGGCCGGGCCGGGACACGATGGTGTAGAAATACCGCAGCGAGTGCGAGCCTGGGGGCGGCGCGCGGTGAGACCCCGACCCTCCTCCCGGACCCCGGGCGGGTGCGCGGGCCGGGAGGGGAGCAGGGCGCGGGGCTCGGGACGCGGTGGAGAAGGGCGGGAGGGTCTGGCGGGGCGACGGGGACGCGGCTTCCCCGGGGCCGCCCCCGCCCTCCCCGCAGGGTCGTTTCCCTCCCGACCCCGCACTCACCCGCGCGGGTCGGGGTCGGGGCCAGGGCGGCCGCCAGCAGCAGGAGCAGCGTGCACGGAGCCATCGCCCCCATCTCGGATCTGGGGCGTCTGAGTTGTAGGCGGTGGTGCTGGTGGTTGGAATTTCTATCCAGCAGCCATGAACAAGGACTCTGTTGATTAGGCAGGATCTGGACTCCCAATGTGGGTGAGAAAGGAAACTCGTCATCAGTGTCTGGGCAGAAGGACCTGACAGAGGAGTGAAACTGGGGACCAGAGGAATCTCCAGCTCTGAGCTTCCCCACCCCAGATCATCCCTGGAGAGTAAGACTTTGCCGAAAACACTCAAAATTGTAATAAAATGATTTGAATACTTTGTTCATTAGAGCTGGGGTCACCTGAGATTTGGCTTCCACACAGGGCAGCTGGAAAGGGCCCAGGTTCCTGCTGACTGTCCCAGGATTCCTCTTCTAGCACTCTGGGTCTCTTTTGAGACTGCTATGGACAAAGCAGCTGACTTCCTCAGAGTCAGAAGTGAGAGAGAGAGAGAGGGTGGGGAGAGGTACAGAGAGGGAAAGAGAGAGAGACAGAGAGAGAGAGAGGGAGACAGAGAGAGACAGAGACAGAGAAAGGGGGGGGGGGGAGAGAGAGAGAGAGAGAGAGAGAGAGAGAGAGAGAGAGAGAGAGAGAGAGAGAGCGAGAGCCCTAGAGCAAGAGCCAGGCTTCCTTCATCAGGGGAGTAGAGTGATCAGGTCCTGAACACACCAGTGTGCCAGGGTCTGCCACAACCTGGGATCCGGAACCCCTCCCAAGTGTGTGTGTGTGTGTGTGTGTGTGTGTGTGTGTGTGTGTGTGTGTGTGTGTATGTATGTGTATTCCCATTCGCTATGCACACTTCTTGAAGGTGCTCAGTGAAAAAATTACCTCAGACCCTGCCACTTCCATACCTGTGTTCTTCCTCACCCACATCATGACACCAACCATGATAAAACCTAAGATCACCACAGCTCCAAGGACAGCACCAACAATGGTCCTGATGGGGATGGACTGAGGAGGCCCTGGGAGTGGAAGGGAAGAGAATGGAAGGTGAGGCTCATGGCCCCACCTATCCAGCCAGGCTCTGCCCAGGCTCTGCCCAGGGTCTGTAGGATTCAGCTTTTCCTGACCCAGCTTTGCATCCATACTTTCCTGCCCATCTCAGGTGAGGGGCTCAGGCAGGCCCTCATGATCCACATGGCATGGATATTTCAGCTCCTCTCCCAAACAAACCACCACAGCTGCCCACTTCTGGAAGGTCCCATCCCCTGCAGGTCTGGTCTCCACAAGCTCCATGTCCCATGTCTGCTCCTCCTCATCTCTCTTTCAGGTCAGGGTGATGTCAGCAGGGTAGAATCCCAGGGCCCAAGATGATGTCAGTGTGACATCATCTTGAGATCTGGGGTGATGGGTCACATGTGTCTCTGGATTTGAGGAGAAGAGTTGTAAAGTTCAGTTGTTTTGCATTCTTCCTGGGCACCTCAGCAAGGTCCATGAGACTTCTTGGATAATCTTTTCATTGTGATGTTCTAGAATCTGGTGAAAGAGCCCAGGGTCAGTGAGCTCCAGGTGCCCCATCAGGAAAAAGGGACTTCTGCTCCTGACTGAGTGGGGCTGTGTGACTCAGCATCACTGCAGTCTGACTCCAGTGACTGCCTGTGTGTCCACAAGAACTGGGTCTGAGAGAGGACATGGTGCCCAATGGGCTGCAGAATCAAGGAACTGGGGTTGTTTCAGAGATCTTCTCTCCTTCCACATTGAGACAGACTCTGAACTGTCTTGTGAAAAGGGTGAATCCTGAGAGTGACTCTCTTGTCGAGAAACTCAGGAGTGGCCAGGCATTGTGGCACATACCTTTAACCTAAACACTTAGGTGGCAGAGCCTGGTGGATCTCTGAATATGAGTCCAGACTGGTCTCCATAGAGAGTTGTAGGCTATCGAGGACTATATAGAGAGATCCTTTAAAAAAGAAGAAGGAGGAGGAGGAGGAGAAGAAGAAGGAAGAAAGAAAGAAACCCAAGAGTGCTGTTCCTCCTCCTCTTCTGAGGGCTGGAACATTATGCGGAATGCAGAGACACCTATTGTTTCCTCTCAAATCAGGAATGAGACAAGAGTATCCAGTCTCCACACTCTTTATTTGATACAGTGTTTGAAGTCTCAGCTATTACAATTAGACTAGAAAAAACATAAAAGGAATCAAAATAGGAAAGGAAGAAATCAAACTATTCCTATTCCCAGACTAATGTTTCTTTACTTAAAAGACCCTGTTCATTCTACTGGAAAACTCTTGGACCTAATAAACACTTATCATTGCAGAATACAGAATCAATATAAAAAAGTTGCTTTCATTTATACCAACAGTGTACTCTCAGGGAATGAAATTAGGGAAAACACAGCATTCAAATTTCCTGCTGTAGACTAAAGTATTTAGGAACATATCTTACCAAAGACATGTAAGAACTCCACAATGAAAACTTTAAAATAATAACACAGAAAATCATAGAAGAGAATGTGAGAGGATGGAAAGACAATCCATGCTCTTGAACTGGCAGAGTTCATATTGTGAAAATGGCCACACTACCATAATCAATCTACTGATTTAATGTAATACTATCAAAATTCTGAAATATTTCACATTTGGAAAAAATAAAGCACATGGAATCACAAAAGCCCACAAATAACCAAACATTCTTAAGGATTAAGAACACTGCCTTTAATCCCAGCACTCAGGAGGCAGAGCCAGGGGGATCTCTGTGATTTCATGGCCAGCCTGGCTTACAGAGAGAGTTCCAGGAAAGGCACCAAAGCTACACAGAGACACACTGTCTCGAAAAAACAAACAAAACAAAACAAAACAAACAACAACAACAACAACAAAAAACACTGCTGGAGGTGTTAACAATCCCAACATCAAATTATACTGCAGAGTTACAGTGGCACCTGCCCGCAGAGTGGGGTTCAGGTTCTCCAGGTATCTGTGTAGCCTTTCCATGCACTTGTCCTCCAGGTATGCCCTGTGACTCTCTGCCTCACCAGCCTGCTCCAACTCCAGCCGCCCAGGTCCTTAGCTCCTGTTCAGGGAGATGTAATCGCGGCCATCATAGGCTTATCATTCATATCCACGGAGGAGGCGGCCACATCACAGCCAGACACTACCTGGATGGTGTGAGAGCCTGGCCCCATCCCCGCGGTCAGCCCTGCTCCATGGCCAAGGCAGCCCAAAGCCTCCTCTAAACAGAATAGGAAACCAGTTCCCAGTCTGCATCTTGGGCAGAACCTCGGATCTTGGCCCAAGGAGAAGGGGTCTGTCCTAGGCGAATTGGAGCAGTCAAGACCCGCAGTCACTCAGGGTCATGGCTACGCTTGTAGTAGCCAGACAGGGCCCTCAGGGTCCCTTGGAAAATCTGCTGGGTGATCTTGACTCTCCGTGTCTCCCTCTCCCAATACTCCGACCCCTTCTCCTCCACCCACGGCGCGGAGTTTCTGCATGGCTATGGAACCGCACGAACTGAATTTCGTCCACGTAGAGGACCGGGGCACCCCGAGGCTGGGCCGGGCAGGGCAGTGTGGAAATACTCGAAGCAGCGAGTGTGAACCTGGGGACTGGGCGCAGTGAGAACCCGACCCTTCTCCTGGAACCTCAGCCAGGTGATAGGGCAGGGAGGGGAGCAGGGCATGGGGCTCAGGGACTCCTGGTGGAGAAGGGGTAGGATGGTCTAGCTGGGCAGTGGGGGAATGGTCTCCCCTGGTGCCACCTGATCCTCCTCCCCTCAGAGGCCTTTTCCCTCCCGGACCTGGCACTCACCTGCACAGATCTGTGTTTGGGACAGAGCTGTTCCCAGCTGCTGCAGGAAGGTGCTAGGGGCTACAGCCTCCATCTTGAGCGCTGGGCGCAGGTCTGAGTCTGTGAGGGCTTTATAAGCAATGCGGTCTGGTTCTCCAGGGTCGTTCTACTCAAGGGAGGTGAATATTTCCAACTTGTCTTCAGTGTCCAGGCAGGGGACCTGAGACAGGTTAAGCACTGGAGAAGTGAAGCCCTTCAGCTCTGGGCTTCTCTATCACAGACCTCGCCAGCCTGGACACTATGACTTTGTCCTGAACACAAGAACTGAAATAAAATGATTTTAATACTGTGTCCATTAGAGCTGGGGTCCCCTGACATGTGGCTTCCTCATATGGCACCTGAAAAGGGCTCAGGTTCCTGGTGACTGTCCCCAGGATTCCTCTCCTACTTGAGGCTGTTCTAGCTACAGCAGCTGGTTCCCCTAGAATCAGCCTTGGGAAGAGAGAGAGAGAGAGAGAGAGAGAGAGAGAGAGAGAGAGAGAGAGAGAGAGAGAGAGAGAGAGAGAGGGAGGGAGGGAGGGAGGGAGGGAGGGAGGGAGGGAGGGAGGGAGGGAGAGAGAGATGGAGTACAGGGGAAGGGAGTGAGCATGTCCTGAATATCTCATAGGAGGGAATTAATCTCATCCCTGGCATGGGCACAGTATAAACCACTGAAAATCAACACTACAATTTGGATTGCCTCAGATCCCCTTGAGTTAGAGTATCTTCTTTAGCTATCTTCTTTGTCCCTCAGGATTTAACTTGAAACAGTTAAATTTTGAGACAACAATTAAGATATATCAGTGTCCTATTTAGTATCAAAAACAACTTTGTAAAGAAGTTCTTTGTTTGAACTTCACTCTCTTATCCTGTATTCCTTTGGCAAACATTCCTTTGCTCAGATAATATGAGCAAAGCTGCAATGCTCAGGTTAGCTACATATTCTTGTTTTACTTTATACAAGCTGCCAACATATGTAAATGGATGAACTTCTTGGCTGAAGATACAAACCAGAACTTTGAAATACATGTTTTCAAGTCAGGACTAAAGGGAGCTCATGGAGGGGTTTCCTGAGGAGGGGTACCAGTGGCCACTGCTCAGAGAGAAAGGCTTTGAAGGAAGAGGAAGTGGGATTGAGTTTCCTAAGCAGAGGTTTGAGGCAGACTGTGGTGCACCTCAAGCTGCAGCCAGCTGGGAGCCTCTGAGCAAGACTGTCAGGGAAGGGGAAGGAATGGACATGTTTTGATTCTTTACATGGCCATCATTCAGTTTCTTTTGTTTAACATTTCTACCTGCCTAACAGCAATATTCTTATCTCTACATGAGGATCTTGGAGATGAAGCAGCCAATCCGTGGAGTCCTGGGCTTCCTGGCATGAAGATGGACCCACAAGAATAAAGATGGAAGGAGG